TGTAGATCTAGGAGAGAGTGGGAGGATCTGACCTGATTCACAGTTCAACTCTCAACGAGAGCACCAAAAAATGATGGATCGTCAGACTAGGGGTAGTCGGAATCCAAGTAAAATGAGAGAGAGAGAATTGATCGGAAAGTACATGTATAATCCGGCAGAGTAACAGTATGAGAATTCATAATGCGATCCCTTTCCACAAGCTGGAAGGTGATATTTATACTAACAGAAAAAGGCAATACTTGGTGCCCAATTAAAAAGATGTTGATCTAATGAGAGGGGGACATATGTCCCATTTATTCTAACAAACTAACAGTCCAAATCAATAGAGAGCCACATGTCAAGTTGATTGGAGAGATAGTCTTGGACAACTGGCTGATTGGAACTGCTCCTAACAGAATTGCTACCAGAATACTCGTGTGGCTACGTTTGGTCAATCGGGAATATTTCCTGGTGCTAAGAGTGACGTGGCAACGTCTCTTCGTGATGCTGGTCCTTGCGGATTTGTCTAAGTTCATAATGCTTTGATCTGACCTTGAGCCCACATAGGGCAGTGTTTGGAGACTCGGGCTCATCGTGAGGGAATTCGCCTTCTGTCTCAGGTCCTGTCTTCATGATCGTTGACTCTGTTGCTTGACTCTGGTTGTCCTTGTGCTGACGTCTGAGGTCAGGCCTGGTGCCGAGCTCAGAGCCTTCGAGATCGGGCTCATAATTTGTGGAGTTTGTATGATTCCCGAGCCCGGTGTTTTCCCAACCTCGGGGGCTCGGGCTCGGGCTTGGCTGGCCTCATTATTTGCTAAGTCTGATTGATTCCTGAGCTTGGTATTTCCCTGACCTAGGCGGTCGGGGTCAGGGTCAGTCCCAAATGTGGACTTAGTTTTTTCATGCTCCTTTGTGGATCCATAAAGTGAATGTCGGCGATTATGATACCCCTGGGGTATATGGGAATATACTCCATCATGTATTTACGCTAAAAGTGCTCTATTTACGCTGAAAACGCTAAATCATAGAGATAAAGCTAAGTATTTGTGACACTCATATCTTGTTGTGTGTTCTTCCATTTAGAGCGAATTATATCTCGTTGGAAAGATAATTTGGAGTTCTAAAGCTATTGTTTCAACTTCATTTACAATGCATTAATTAAAAGTTACAGATTAACCATAAATTCACAAATGTTTCTGATTTCACTGCGAACTCGTGTAGAACTTGATCTGGTCATATCTTGCTCTGTTTTGTTCCGTTGAAAGCGTTTAATATCTCGTTGGAAAGATCTTATCGGGTTCTAAAACTTGTCTTCAGGCGCTGGTTTCAAAATATCAAGGGATGATTGCCTAATTACTAAAATAAACTGTATTTACGCTAAAATCTCTATTTACGCCGAAAACGCTAAATCATAGAGATAATGTTAAGTATTTGTGATACTCATATCTTGTTGTGTCTTCTTCCGTTTAGAGCATATTATATCTCGTTGGAAAGATAGTTTGGAGTTCTAAAACTATTGTTCCAACTTCATTTACAATGCATTAATTAAAAGTTAGAGATTAACCATAAATTCACAAATGTTTCTGATCTCACTCCGAACTCGTGTAGAATTTGATCCAATCATATCTTGCTCTATTTTGTTACGTTAAAAGCGTTTAATATCTCGTTAAAAAGATCTTATCGAGTTCTAAAACTTGTCTTCAGGCGCTGGTTTCAAAATATCAAGGGATTATTGTCACTATGCCTTGTTTTAAGTTGTACGAGTTTTACAAGTCCTACTTTTGGAAGTCAACCATGATTTGGTCCTATTTGTAAAATTTTCCTAAAAATCGCAGTGACATGAAAAATGTGGTGGGGGGGGGGGGGGGGGGGGGGGCGCTGGTGGTGGTGCACCAGTTTCGTCGGAAAAGTTTGTCCGAAAATTTTTCTACTATATAGTGACATAAAAATCTGATAGTGACATATAATAGTGACATAAAAAACAGTGACATCATGGTTTCCATATATGTGACCTTCTTAATCACAGTTTTGTCATTTTATAAAAATGGTCATTTTTGGAAATTGGATTCAATTAGGTAATATTCAAGGAAAAAACCCTTCTAGAAATCCTCTTTTTTATTTTATTTTAGGGTGAATTGTCAAAATAGGATTAAAAGTTGGTCACTTTGCACAAATAAGACCAAAAGGCAAACTATGTTTTGATACAACTAATTATGTGTGTGTTGGACAAATATACCCTTGTTGCTATTAAAATGTTTTAATTCATAATAAAATAATAAAAAATAATAAAATTCGTAAAGAATACTAAAAAATTAATAAAAATATTTACACAATAATTAATTTTTAAAAAAATTAAAAAAAAAATAAAAAAATAAAAAATGCACAAAGAGTAATATGCCATTACGAATGCCATATCCATTACGAATGCCATATTTATGGCAGATTCAATGAAAATTTTGGCATTCTCAAAAAATGGCATCCATAATTTTTTAATTTTTTTTGGAGTTTTACTATTTTTATTATTTTTTTAAAAAATAGAAATTAAAAAATGGTACAAAAAAAATCACCTCTGCCTCTACCGCCGCAACACCACTATCTCCAGACTCCAGTCACCGGGAAAAAAAAATCCACATGCATTAGAAATGTCATATTTATGGCAGATTCAATGAAAATTTTGGTATTCTCAAACATTAATATGCCATTTTTTTTGACATTTTCAGAAAAAATGGTACTTTTTACACCAGTCGGAGGTGATGGTGCAGGGAGGCAGTACATGCGGTGGGAAAGGGATCCATAATTTTTTTAATGGGTTTTTACTATTTTTTATTAAATTTTAAAAAATTTAAAAAATATTTTTTTATTTTATAAATATTTTGTTAATTATTTTGCCTATGATTTTATTTATTTTTTACGAATTTATATGAATTAAATCATTTAATTGTGACTTTTAACTCCCTTTTACTTATATTTAAGGGAGGGATAAGAATGTAATGAAAAAATAAGTATGTTTCTAATAGGACTAATATGGTCCTATTTTGGAATAAAAACATATCAAGTCTTATTTTGGGTTTAACCATAGTTTTAGTGCTATTTGGAGTAATTTCCGTTTATTTTGTGGGAAAGTTCCCGAAATACGACTAAAATCGTTTGAAAAATCTAAAATAGGATTGTCATTTTTTTCCTCAAAATAGGAGTAATTATTGTCAAGTTTAGAAAATACTGTCATGTTTGAAGTCTGGAACTTTTTTAGTTATTATAATATTCTCTTATTTATTTTAAGGACCTCCTTCGTGCACCCCTAAGTTTACTAGGCACACCTTTTTTTTCTCATTGTTGGACCAATTTGCCCTCTTTCAATTTGCTTGTAGAACGTAGCTAGCCAAACTCACTGCCTCTTTCAAATTTAAACTCACTCCTTGTATTGCTTTTTAAATTAAAATAGATTTTATATTTCCTTAAATTTTGTTTCTTTTTTTCTAAGATTTTGTTTTGTTTTGTTTTTAAAAAAAGAATATCTTTAAAATACACCCAAAATCTTAATATAATTATGATTACAAATTCTTACTATCATCGTACAATTACTCTGTAAATATTTGCAACACATTATTATATTCTTATAATTTTTTTACAATTACAAAGGATAATGAGTTTGAAAATTATCTAAAAAAATAGTGCTCTTGACTTTCAGACTAACTATATATTTATTTATCTTAACTCATACGGAGTATTAATCACTTCATATACCCCACTAGTTGTATCTCATCTCTTCTTTTTTATTTGTTTCATTAAATTTGTCCCAAACAATGTTCAGCGATATTTGGATGGTCACACACACACACACACACACACACACACAAATGTTCAGGTCCGGAATTCCGGACCAGAACCGCCGTCCGGTCGACGGATTTTAGGGCCCTTCCCGGTGGTGTTTTTTGATGAAATTTTATGACATGTTCTTCATCAAGTCTAGTTTATCCACACAAAAATTCAGCTAAAAACTCAATCCGGAAGGTCGTCAAATGATTTTTGGAAGTTAACTGCGTTTTATATGTATTTTTTAGCGCAGTTTACTTCAAAAAATCATTTGACAACCTTCCCGATTGAATTTTTAGCTGAATTGTTTTGTGGATAAACTAGACTTGATGAAGAACATGCCATAAAAATATACATATATCTGTATATATATATGTGTGTGTATATGTGTGTGTATATATATATATATGTGTGTGTATATATATATATATATATATATATATATATATATATATATATATATATATATATATATCAATGATAAGACGGAGATATATTCAAGGAAAACAAAGACAAGAAACATAGAAAGGTAAGAAATGATAAAAAAAGATTAAAAAATATATAGAACGGAGATATAAAAAAGAATTTTTTATCAAAAAATTATAAATGTAATACAAGTGTCATATGAAAGATCATAAAAAGTTACTCAATTCAATATATTTTTGTCAAAATCAGAGAGCATGTGAAAATAGAATAACATTTTATAAAAAATAATTGTTCAAAACATTTTTAAGAAAATGTTATTTGCATTTCAATTTATATTGGATCCATTTTGAGTCTATTAAACAAAATTACTAGAAGTGGTAGCGTAATGCCTTTCAAAAAAAGTGACAGCGTAATGAAGTTTGTTCCTAATTTTAAGGGACTAATTATACTGTTCAAATAGAACTTTAGTTAAAAAAAGAATGTGGCAAATTGGTCTAGTTGTGGTTACTTAAAGTAATAATATCGTTTGTATCTCATTAATTGCAATATTGGAATATACTTCTATAAACTATTCATGTACTTTACTTTGACTACATTTTATTTATTAATGTATTTGAATTATTATTTTTGAAAAATATTGTGAAATTCGTCTCATTACTAAGTTTTATAATCTAAATTTTATTTTATTTTTACTAATACAGAATTAAATATAATGACTGTCAAAGTTGTGCGTTGTCAAAAAGTAAAATGTTGAACACAACCAAAAAGAGACGGATGAAGGACCGAGGGTGCCCGTAGCGACCCCTTATTTTATTAGCAATATTCTCTTTTTTAGTTCTTCTCATAGCTGGTAAGCTGGGCACGTTTTGGTTTGTACTTTGTAGCTAGTCCGGCAAATCCAGCCTTCACCATGTCCAATCCCTCAGCCGTCTGCTGCTTCAGCATGCTCCGCCACCTCTCGGCTCTCACACTGTTTATCTTTTTCGTCACAGCCGGAGAACCATCAACATCTGCGGCGGTTCAGGATCACCAGCAGCAGCTGGACTACTCACCCGTGACCCACTTCCAGCAGTATCTTCGAATCAACACCGCCCACCCCAACCCTGACTACCCCTCCGCTGTCAATTTCCTCACCGCCTTGGCCAGCTCCATCCCCGGCCTCCGATCCCAGCTTCTGTATTTCACTTCCCCTCCCCCAAACAAACCCCTACTTCTACTCACCTGGCCCGGCTCCAACCCTTCGCTTCCCTCCATCCTCTTCAATTCGCATCTCGACTCCGTCCCCGCCGAGCCCGCCAAGTGGTCCCACCCGCCCTTCTCCGCCCACCGCTCCTCCGACGGAAAAATCTTCGCTCGCGGAGCCCAGGACGACAAGTGCATCGGCATCCAGTACTTGGAAGCTATCAGGGCCATCCAAATCAGCTCTCCGGGCTTCACTCCACTCCGGAATGTCCACATCTCTTTCGTCCCCGAGGAGGAAATTGGGGGCTTCGATGGCATGGCCAAGTTCGCAGGCTCCCAAGAGTTCAGAGACTTGAATGTGGGGTTCGTTTTGGATGAAGGCCAGGCCTCACCCACCGATGAGTTCAGGGTGTTTTACGCCGATAGAATCCCCTGGCATATGGTGATTAAGGCTGCCGGGATGCCTGGACACGGATCTCGGTTGTATGATAATACTGCCATGGAGAACTTGATGAAGTCTGTGGAGGTTATCACAAAATTCCGGGATGCACAGTTTGACAAAGTCAAGGCAGGATTGGCAGCCAATTCAGAGGTCATTTCAGTCAACCCTGTTTACCTAAAAGCTGGGACTCCATCACCAACTGTGAGTGATTCTGGAAAAGCAGATGCTACCTATTAGATATTCTAAGAAATTAGACAAAAATGTGATTTTTAATATGCATGGACAATCATGGTGTGTTTTTACACTTAGGGTAGTGAGCATAGTACCACACTAACTTTGAATTGTACACTGCACTGAACTTGATGTTATTTTTGTAGCTACTATAATTAGGGGTGGGCGGCGATTTGGGGGTTCGCCTCTCATATAGAAGAACCATTTTGATCCATAAGAGTATCATAAGAACCAAATAAATTTAGTACGGCATTGGAGCGTTGCGTTTTTTATTGATATGGTACATTAGTGAATTTTTAGTGAGAACCTTTCTAAAATCATATTGAACTGAACTATCCCAAAGAGCCCATTGTATATGTGTGTATATATATACATCATGTATGTATATGTGAATTTATATAAAGATAAAATAATACCTAATTATAATTTAAAGGTCACAGTCCTTATAACTTAATCCACTAGACTCATTCTGTTAGCTCAAAATAGAAGGCTTTCTTGTAATAATTACTAAACATGCTCTAAAACTAAAATCGCCATCCAGCCTGCAATGATTTATCTTATATTGATGAGTTATTTACTTTTTTAGAACCAAATGGTTCCATAATTTTGAAACAACTGTAGTTTGGGACAAGACGTGTTTTTAAATGACCTTCACGTACCTCCCACATGCTCTACTCTAAGTCCCTAACAGTAATTACTAATTATCATGTAGTCATCTTTGTACATGAATTTTATTTTAGTGATATTGAAAGGGAGCTTTGGCGCACCGATTAAGGTGTTGTTGTGTGATCGAATGGTCAGGGTTTAAGTCTTTGGGAGCAACCTGTGGTCAAAAATTGACATGGGAAGGCTCCCTTATACACCCTTGTGTTGAGACCCTTCCTCGGACACCGCCTTGCTGTGCACCAGGTTGTCCTTAACTTGTAGGGGAAACTTCTTATGTTATTATTTCGCCCCGTTGTTGTTTTTGTTGCTGTTAATATTATAATTATTATTAATACCTAGTTTGAGATTAAAATGATCATGCAGGGTTTTGTGATGAATATGCAACCTTCAGAGGCAGAAGCTGGATTTGATATCAGAATGCCACCAACAGCTGATCCAGAGCTAATGAGGAAAACCATTGCAGAGGAATGGGCACCTTCTTGGAGAAACATGACATTTGAGGTCATCTCATATAAATTGTATCAGCAAATGTTTTTTGTATCAAAAAGTTCTCCTTTTCATGAAGAGAGATGAATCACAATGTCTTTATCAGAATTCTACATTTGAGCATGTTTGACATCTCAAGTTCAGAAAGAGTCCTCAGAAACAAGACATATGGATTTAAGACCTTCACATTAAGTAGTTAATCAAGTGTCAATGTGCATAATGACCCACTTGAGGGTATCCAGCTATGAATATGAAATGTATCATATTCTCTTTCATGGACCACAATATGCTTTTTGTCTTCCTTGTCATAAAATTCCTATGCCCCTTATGATGTTGCAGATTGTAGAGAAAGGGACGCTAAGAGACTTCATGGGTCGCCCTCTGCTAACTCCAACTTCAGATTCTAACCCCTGGTGGTCTGTTTTAAAGGAAGCCATTTCGAAAGCGGGTGGCAAACTTGCAAAGCCTGAAATTTTGTCTTCAACTACTGATGCTCGTTTCATGAGGGAAAAGGGGATTCCCACTTTTGGCTTCTCCCCTATGAAGAATACACCTATTTTACTTCACGACCATAATGAGGTTTGTGAAACTTGTCCACCCATATATTTAATCATTTTGTTGTTACTCATTTACTCCAATTTATTATACTCTCATCTACTGCCTTGGTTAACAATGTATATTATTTGGCAGTTTCTGAAGGACACTGTTTTCTTGGAGGGGATCAAGATCTATGAATCTATTATCAAAGAATTGAGCTCTTTTGAGGAACAATCTTTATGGAATCGACTAACAATATCGAGCCCTTGATGAATCAAACATATTACACTGCATAGGTTGTTTGTTTTGCATAGGAAGTTTATGCATGTGAAATTCTTATCTTCACCAAACAGATATCAAGGTTCATCACGTAGAGCTTATATATATAAGCTATATATATGTGTGTGTTTCTTCTTCATGCTTTTGGATCTCCATCTCCTTCTGTTCCGCCTTAGGACTTCGGATCTCTGCACATCTATTAAAGAGTATGTCTTCTGGTTGCTGAGCTGTTTTCTTTTTAATTTAACCAAAGCTTCAAACGACGACGTTTGGTTTAATGATACTAAAAAATAAAAAACGACGCCGTGCCTACGATGATAACTGGGCTGCTAAGCCTTTCTGGAAGAGCTAAATTTGAGGAAATTAAACGGAAGAATGGCTGAGAGCCTAAAACAAGCAGACCGCATGAATCGAAGAGACATAAGAGAGTCAAAACTCTAGAGATGAAAACGAGAAGTTGTTGTGGACCTGTGGTGCTGCCTGTTGGCGATTGGAGAAATTAGAGATGGGCAATTTTGCGCAGGGAGTATAGAGGAAACGAGGTAATTTTTTGATTTCTTAGCTTGGTTAAATGTTCTGCAACTCATGTGGCTGAATTTTAGTGGATAAGAGATTAAAGAGTATATATTAAATTTTACTACATTTAGTTAGTGAATCTATTCACTAAATAAATGAATGGTGATGGTGGTGCCACAGTGTCTCATATGACTCCATAAGAGAGTCATATGGGGCTCTTTGAATTTTTTGTAATAACTTGTTCTTTCTTTAATACTACATATACATACAATTTTTTTTTCTAGGAATTTTTGTTTTGAAAATGTTAAATTAATATGATTTTTAATTTTAAATAACTGCCTATCAAAATTAATGAATTTTAGTTCCAAAAAGTCAATACATACACTAACTTGGACACGGATGGTGTGTGATGTGCATTTATGGGAAAACACTGTGGTCGATGAACATAACACATATACACACACACATATTTTTAAAAATAATGAAAAATATATTAGTGAAATAAAGGTAGTAAACATAAATATGACTTAGTGACTACTATTGTAACTTTAATATGTAGGAATAATAATCATAGTTGTGTTCAACTATATCACTATAGTGACTATGTATAGTAACTATTTTTTTATTGACATCCGATATCCTCGGTTACCCGAGACTAATCCGGAGCCTTGTGACCCTAGTCGGCAAAGGACCACAAGGAGGTAAATCAGCCTAGGTTGCCCATAGCTGACCGGCTCACAGCTTGGGGAGGTCACAATAATCACTCACATTGCATGATTCGAACTTAAGATCTTAGGATTGCCCCCAAGACTCAAGTCCTATGAAATGACCATCCAAGCTGGGGTTGCCCCCATGTATAGTAACTATAGTAATATTTTTGTACGCTAGTTATATTTCAATACTCCGTAATATTTAAGGAAAGCCGCATATAAACTTTGTTGCTAAATGATCTTTTATTTTGATACTTTTCAAATAGTATAAATGATCTTTTATTTCACTCGTTCCTGATCTCCGGGGAAATTTATGCCCATGAATTCATTTTATTAGGATCATTTGTCCTTGTTGCCTCTTCTATTTGATGTGCTATGACATCACCATGCATGGAAAATATGCAATACTTACCTAAAATTTACTACTCCGTAACATTTTATGTTAAAATTAAATTAGCGCCTTATGATTACGGATGTTTTTACTTAGACTGTAATTTGTTGGTCTGATCTGGTCCGGTCTGGTTTCTTTGTATTTTTATAACTATCCAAGTCTGGTCTGAACTGGTCTGGTCTGGGACGAATTACAATCCAAATAAAAACATCCTACATTTAGTTAGTGAAAATGTAATACTACCTGTGTGTGATTAGTATTAGAAATAATTACACACTTATGCCTAATATAAAAATTATTTATAAAAAATGTGACCTCTTATGTGTGCAGATTACTATAGTATAATAGTGGTAATTCACTCAAAGTAACTTATATTTAATTTTTGCACCATATAAAAATTATTTATAAAAAATGTGACCTCTTATGTGTGCAGATTACTATAGTATAATAGTGGTAATTCACTCAAAGTAACTTATATTTAATTTTTGCACTTAAATGACCATGACACCATAATAAAATACTAACTCTGTATCATTTTAGTTAGTTATGTATGAATTTTCCAGTCAAAGATGATAAACTTTGATCAATTATTCTAACTAATATATTAATACAAAATTTAATAATTTTATTCTTTTATGATACTATTTTTGACAAAAAAACATTTTCATATCATTTTTGTATTATCAATACTTCTGTATATAAATATATAATAGGTCAACGTTAGACACCATTGACTTGAAAAGTCAAGTTTGGCTAAATAAAATTGGACGAAGGGAGTAACTATTAGTCATATTTTTGTAAATAAATTTTATTTCAGTAATATTTTTTGAAAAACCCTCTTAATATCATGTATTTTGTTATAATTATTAGTATAATTCCAACATTAATATTACCATGTTATTTTACCATAATATCTATCATATTATCAATGTTAAATACTATATTGGTTATATTAGTGAATAGCTAAACATTAAACAACTTGTCATTAAATTTTCACTTGTTTACGAAGAAGAAATTTAATTATCTGTTTGGTATTTAACCAAATCATCATTAATAACGATCAATGAAGATTTGGTATGATTTGCTTGTATTTATTTAAAAACATGATTTTATTAATAGGTCAATGGAGGTTTAATATGATCTGGTTCTATTTTTTATAAACAAGATCTTATTATTTGGTTTTGAGTATAGCTTAGTCTTTTTAGTTCTTGCTTGAAATTTTTACGAATCAGATTTGGAATGGTCTTATCTAATGTGCTGAGTTAAAAAAAAGAGTGCGTAAAGAGGTCCTATTATGCTTAAATTGACGAGGCAAGACTTCAAAATTCTAGAATGAATCACACCAGGAAGTATGTTTTATTCATATCATTATTAGCTATACCATTATAGTTTTTCTTAGGCAACTATATATTTCCTTCCATATATTTTAGTTTCCATATATGCAAGTAGTATAGCGGACAATCCATTGTATATACCTCTCTTCTCACAGCATTAGTGGGTAGAATAATATTGATATTACATAAAATAAATGCTCCTTCATTTGATGCGCACATCATCATGGCATCAGAGCAATTTGCTTGACTCTAGCGGGAGAATTGGCCATGGCAGTAGGAGATGACGCATCGGTTGAATCAGCCAGAGGAAAAAGGAACAAAACTGAAAAGTACGGCCTCATTTGGCGACTTCTGTCTGGGGCATGACATATCAAGTTGTTTTTTGTTTCGCCGTAACGAAACTAAGGGGATCGGACTGGACGAGGAAAAGGCATTGTCGCTCACGGAGGAAGCATTGGTAGAGGCAAAACGGGGGTCCGGGCTCATGTTGTGCCGATTGATGGTGGTGTTACTTCTAGAGGACACAGCAGGTGATGGCAATCCTTCTGGCCAGTTAGAACACAATGAAGGAACCCTTCCTGGGTTTTCCTCCAAACAATGGGGGGCTCTATTAGCTGTGTTGGGTAAACCAAATTCGAATAATGAACAAAGGTCTAGTAAGTTTGATGTTTTGTCCCCGATTATTGATATCGGGGCATCCAATCACGTTACACGGAATATTTCTTGCTTGATTATTATTAAAGAAATTGAAGAATGTTCGGTGAGCCTCCCAGATGGACAAAAAGTAATGGCTACTAATGAATGATTTGTTCAATTGTCAGAGACAATATGTTTGAACCATGTGTTGTTTGTTCCCCGATTAAGTTGTAGTTTAATATATTTTCTCAACTCGTTGATGATCTTTACTGTTTTAATCAGTTCACTTTTAGCATTTGTGTAATTCAGGACCGGCACTCTAAGAGGTTGATTGTACCGGATAGGTGACTATTCTTTTGGTAAAAAAAAGGTTGGTGTGTGTGAATATCAAGACTCCTAAGTATTTTTTCTCCCGAGATATCAAGTTTAGGGATGGACCCGGGCCGGTCCGGTTCCGGTTCCGGGCCGGGCCTGGGTGGGCTTTTTTTGCAAATCCTTGGGCCCGGAACCGGCCCGGGTTGATACCGGGTCCGGGCCTAGCTGGGCCGGGCCGGGCCCGGTTCAATGTCTATTTATTTTTTGCTTTCTTGTTATCCCCCGACCCCCCCCCCCCCTCACCCCACCCCCCAAACCTCCCCAAAACACCCAGCCCTACCCTAGGAAAAGAAAAAATAATTGAAAAAAAAAAATTTTGACCCGAGCCCGAGCCCGGCCCGCTCGACCCGCCCAAACGGGCTAAAAGCCCGGAACCGGCCAACTGGTCCCGGTCTGGTCCGGGCCCACAATTATTTGAGGATCAATTTCCGTTTAATGAATCTATGCATGTCATCTTAGATGACCCCCTCCTCCTCCCCCTCCCCCCCCCCCCCCCCCCCCCCCTTCTCAATTTCCGATATATGGGGATAAGACACTTCTACCATACCACATGTGTCGATTACCACCTCACCACATACCTTCACTGTGGTACCTTCGATTAAACTGCGGCATTACACGACTCGCACTGTGATTCAAGAAAGTTCATTCCCCACGATTGCCCCTTAATCTGCTCCTTCAGGTACACCGTTTCGTATAGCGCATTATGTTAATTGTGCTAATTTTTCTCCAAATTATCACAATTTCCTCGTGCCTATATCTGCAGGCACAAAGCCTACCTTCTTTAAAGAGGCGGGTCGTGATGCTGGTTGGCGAGATGCTACGCGCGCTAAAATTCGCGCTCTTGAAGAAAACTGCACCTGGACCATGACATGACTTCCACCCAAAGCGGCTTTATCATTATTAGTTGTTGCGCGTAAAATCTCAAATGAAATGTCATTTACCAAACACTCCTTTATCTGCCTATTTGTGATCAGAACATCCTTCTTTGTCCAAATGATCTTGCCGTATGTGTCACAAAAATATTAGATTTTCATTTGCCATTCAACTATGTTTTTTCATAAAAATTGCATGAGTGATCCACTTTGGTTTTAGTCCATTTTATTTCATCACTAACCTTAGACAACTAATATATAATCATCCAAAATAATTTAGAGCTCATGCATACGTTTTTTCACAATTTATTCCATATATATGTGATATATCTTAATAAAAAGGTTTATTCCCTCAATCTTATTATGTACTAACAAATCGAATTAGATCATGAATCCTCATAAAGACACATCACTCATCATGATTAAAGTGATGAATAAGTTAAGGATGTATTGTGTAGGAAGAGCCAGATGATCCTTGTGTTTAGCTAAAACCTCCATTGCTCTCTTGACCTTTCTTTTCTCATTTCTCTCTTTATAGTTCTCTCATTCTTCATTTTTTTTCTTAAAATAAGTTGAGAAGGAAGGTAAAAAGTGCCCATTTTCATATGTTTATTCCAACTACATCATTGTTTTTGTTGGTGGTGGTTGTAAAATAAAAGGATTTAAATAGTGGAGTCCCGTTCCCATGTGAAAAGCATGGTGTGTCATTGGGTTTTGTGCCTTGGTAGGTGGAAATGAAATGGTCTAGGTGAGATAGACATCTCATTTACTTTCCTTACTTTCATGATTGGTTCACCTTAACTAATTGTCTTGAAATACAAAGTATAATATTAAAAAATGAGAGGGGTTGGTTAACTTCATCATCATTGTTGTTGGTATTATTGTGTTGTTGTTGGTTGGTTGGTATTATTATGAAAGGGTATTAAATGAGAGGGGTATCATTCCCATGTGAAAAGGCATGATGTGCCATGTGTGTTTGCCCCTTGAGTGGGTGGGAAATTAAATGATTTAGGTGGGAGGGAGATATTCCATAAAAACCATTCATATTCCTTGCTCTTGTAACTAGTCCACCTTAATTGAATGACTTGTAATCTTACAATCTCACTTTAGAGGCTACCTAAAACCTTTTGCAAATCTCATATTTTCCAGAGATTTGTCCAAAACATTGTAAAATGTATTCATGTTTTTTTTATATTGGTTGTTTCAAAATAAACTGCTTGCATACAACTGAGAGACACCTTATGCTATGTACCCCCTTTGTCTTATTTTAAGGTATTCACTTTTCTTTTTTGGACGTCCAATATAAACGTTCTCATTTCTATTTTAGAAAACAATTAACAGTCTTAAGTGAAAATTTAATCATCCAATATTAAGAATAATACATCTATAACATCACAATTATTATCAATAACCTCATTATACTACATATTATATATCCATCAAAATTATTTCTCAAACTATACTCAAATTGCCTATAAATAATCATGTCATTTTGCAATGAGAACCTTTAAACGGGACGGAGGTAGTTAAATTTTCAAAACTGATAGGAATACTTTTTTTTTTACAGAAAACTGGAAAATTGAAGGAAGGGAAACCACCAAGCGTGTTTACATGTTCATTCTCCAAAATTTTAAAAACGAGAAATGGCTTTGATTTCTTCTTAAGTTGGTGAGTCGCATTTTCGTGTTTTCGAAAAAGGAAATATGCAACGCTACAATGTGTTGAATGTGTTAATGCTTCCAACATGTGTTCGGGTTTAGAAAGTTGAAACAAAAAATTGAAGAACGGAAAACAAAACAAAAAATAGAAACGAGAGAAATAAATAAGCAGGCCCCAAGTGCCTATATATTTCTATTTTTATTATCTAATTTTCTATTTTACATTTTTATGTGGTTTTACCTTAAATATGACTAAGCCCATATTTAAAAAAAGTGCCTACTTTTATATATGGATAAAAATGTGACTAAAATGTAATAAGTTTGAAAAAGTTACTATCAGATTTTTAAGTGATGCATCACATCTAGGGTTGTGTAGACGATGTCATTTCTTGCCTTTTTTTTTGAAAGGAAAACGACTATATTGATATCATTAGAATGAGGATCGTTACAACAATCTCAAAATGACCAGAACTGACAACAACTTTCACCTTCCAACTACTACTTTTAGTCCTACGATTAGACATAGACACGACCATCCCTAAAGGAGCAATACGAATCGCTAACCACCAGACGGGCTTAATGCAGCTATTGCTGAAAAAATAGATCCGTCCCCCACTAACAATATCAAATATTGTCGAACCCTCGATCAATGTCAAAAAATTATTACCATAAGCAAATACCAAAAGCAAAACGATAGCAATGAATTTCTTCGAAAACAGACTAAAAACGGGGACAATGAATTTAAGCATGATGAACTTATTGAACCGTTGAACCCAATCTTCCAGCACGGTGTTCCGACCCCTAATCACCCATTTCCAGCATGGCGGCGGTTCAGGAGGGGGCGGATCTTCATCCCTTCATCTTCTTCCTTCAACACTTTGATCTGCTCGTGATTCGCCTCCATCTCTTGGCCAACATACCGCACGAGCACAACCAGTCCAAACGCGAACAGTCCTCAGATCCTTATCAGCTCTCATGTGCTGCAATTGAGATTCGCCAAGACCCTCCGATCCCGAATGCTCCCACGCCCACCCTGTGCTCCATATGAGGAAAACTAGCAAACTCTGGGACACTGCAGCGCCAAGAAAGCTATAGCGCCGCCCGCCGAAAACCTAGACTTGCTAAGACCGCCGCCGTGAACGTAAGCCCTTCGCCGCTTCGAAGCGATGTCATTTCTTGCCTTTTAAAACACTATTTTATATATTAAAATAGGGAAAATAACTTTAAATAATACAAACTATTTTCCATGAACCAGAAAACATACGTACTTTGGAAATATGTTTTAATAATACCAACTATATAAATATGGACCAAAAGTGATATAAAGCATTTTTTTGCTAAAAAATCAATCAATTAATTCATCAAAAGCTTGTATCAAAATATCTAATAAGTGAGTGTATCTTCAAATATCACTTATTTAATGTGTTGCCATTAGTTTTTGATGTCTTAAATGACAGGATTTCTTAGCAAAAAGTGGCTCAAATTATTTTTGTTTTACATTCAAATAGTTGGTATTATTAAAATCATTTTCAAAGTATGTATTATTATTGATTTATGGATGATAGTCAGTATTATTTGAAGTTATTTTCCCATTAAAATATACTTGTCATCTCTTAAGGAAGTTATGATTTAGATAAAAATTACATGTTGGATAATAAGGTGGTTATGGGGCAAGGATGTTACCCTTTGGACCGGTACAATTATATGCATGATCCTCCTGTCTCATCGCATTGTCATCTCAAGCTCGTGTCCTTCATTACAAAAGATTTGCTTCAACTTAAATAGGATGATTTTATATTAAAAAATTGTAAGTGTTTTGTATTGGATATAACCTTTGGTGTGGTAATATGTTCATCTCAACTATGTACTCATGCTTGAAAGAGTTGGTAAAAATTGAGCCATATGACGCCGGAGTTTTTTAAAATTATAAATATATGGCCAGAGCCTATTTACCAATTTGTCGAATAACGTTCTTTAAAATTACCAATATATCACCAAAGCCCTTTTTACCAATTTGCCAAACAACCTTCCTTTTTTACCAAATTTATAATTTCGTTGAAAATTTGTGTGATACGTGAAATAGTTAAAATACGTTTTTACAAAATAGTGTCTGTTATAATATTTACTTATAGACAACATCATATTCATACAAGAAAAGTGAATACAACAAGGTTTGATGAAATAAAAATATTAAATATGATGTATAACATTTTAAAACAAGATATACTTCAGTAGTACCATGATGAAGAACGACTATTTACTCTCATCGTGTGGGTTTTAGTCATCCGTTGATTTTTACCATCATATGGCTAATCCTTGTGATTTAATTGGTAGCTTGATTCCGTGCGTAGCAGCCAAGTTTTGGGTGCTTTATTCTGTTTTGGTCCCGTTGCAAAGCAGTAAAAAATTGTATAGGAAGCTTGATTGCAGTGCAGGTCGAATGGAAAGCCAACATAGGAGCAATATAGATGCTTGGAAATGAGAGACGATGAGGATGAGTTGGTTCTACTAGTTTCAAGAAAGGAAGATGAACGGGTTGAAGGATTACCCGAATGGTCATCGGTAGACACCATAGTGACTGAAAAGCGGTGAAATTCACGATGTTATGTGACATTTTGGCTTCTATTTGGAGACCCAACAAATGGATTTCTGTCAAAGAAATCAATAATAAAAAGTACTTGTTTGCTTTTTGTCATGAAACTGACATGTGACATGTTCTTGACTATGGCGCTTGATTATTTGATTAGAATCTTGTGGTTTTGCATGAATTAAAAGCTAATCGATGAGCTTCTCTTAAAAGACCTATTATTTTTTTTGGAATTCTGGGTTCAAGTTCATAATTTGCCAGTTTGCTTTCTCGCACTAAAGGTTGAAAAGGCAATTGGGAATTTCCTGAGTAAATTAATAAGATGGGTGATAACCAATTTGAGGGTTTATGGTGCGCTTATTTAAAAATACGTGTTTGTCTTGATATTGGGACCCCCCATGAAGAATATGAAGATTAAGGAGGATGAGGGTTGGTTCTGGGTAGACTTTAGATGTGAAAAATTCTCAAATTTTTACCTTTCTTGCAGCACCATTGGCCATGTAGAAAGATTTTGTCCTACGTATCTTAGACGGACATCTTTGGTGAAAATCACGCATTATTGCTCTTGGTTGAGAGCAAATAATAGTTGTAGTAGTGTAAGTGGGGAAAACAAATGACTAGTTCTGGAAAAGGGGAGCAAGCAGGGAATAAACAATGTCTATAATATGGGAGTGCCTCAAACAGGATAAGACTCATTGGAAGTAGGTGAGGTAACTTCTCGGGGGCTGCTAGTTTTTGGAACAAACGCTTTGGAGGTAAGCTCGGAGGTGGTGGGAAGAAAGAGGAAGGGCTGCAAGTGGCGGAACAGAAGCTTCACCGAGTGGAAGAGGAGAGGATTGCGAAAGGCCAGACAATGACGTAGCTAAAGGCAGTCAGATAAAAAGTCGGGATTGGAACATGCTCTGGTCTGCAAGCCCGCTAGGAAGATTGAAGACTTAGCGTTTGTCTTTAGCGTTTGTCTATCTTGTTTTCCCTTTATTTATCAAATATGTTGAGTTTTACTGTTGTTGTCTGTTGGTTTTTATTTTATATGGATTATGAGGTGTGTTTTATTTTGATAGTTAGTAGGTGTCAGAAGTTAGGTGAGTTAGGTGACAAGAACAACAATTTGGTTATTTTAGGCTTAATGCTGCCCGCTTTGTGGTTACTGAGCCATTTTGCTTGTTTCATGACGAATAGCTCTTTGTTTAATTTAGTGCTTATGATCGAATTTGAGGTATTTGTCATGCCGGTCGTCTGTAATTGTCCAGTATTTTAATATAAGTCTTTTATATTAATTTTTTTTATAGATAAAACCATTGTAAGTTTTCCAAAATATAACCCATAATCTATTAAAGAAATAATCATTGTCTATTTTTACCGATTTATAACCTATTGTTACATACTCCATATCATTTATAAATTTAGAGATGGATCTACGTTATATCTATAGTGGGTTGAATCCCAATGGGCCTAATTTTTTCTTAATTTTTGAAGTATAATTTTTCCTCCCTCTTTAGCCCGTGTGCTAGTACTTCAATCTAGTATGATTACTTTTCAACTAATTTCAACCTACATTTTTTGACCCGCTCTTATATATACACATTCTATCACTATGATGTTTTTAATAATTGGAGTGAAACTTTGTAGTCTGTTTTGGTTTAAATTTATTTGATTTGGTCCGATAGATTAATTTGTGTGTGTATTTTATAACTATTTAAGTCTGATCTGATTTGATCTAATATGTTTTGACATGATTTGATATGATCTGGGATAGGACTAATGTCAATTCATTTTAAAACACCCAAATGTTGTTGGTACACATATTTTGTATACATTTGCACAAATTACGTTGTAGACAGACAACTAGAGATTGCACACAAAATGATACAAAATAAGTTTACACCAAGCAAAACTTTTGAAAACATCCTTACTTTATTAATAATATGATTTGCTTTGCACATCATGTTTGGGCAATATCAGAATTTGCATCTCATATTCAAAATCATTAATATATGCATCCTATCATTAAAAAAATTGTGAAATGGCGTGTGCAAAGTTAAGTGCTTTAAAGTAAATTGTGATGCGTATATTAATGGTTTTGAAAATGAGATATAAGATCAAATATTATTAAAAATGTGGTGCAAGACTGCAAGGTCAAATTCTCCATATACGGAGTAATAAATACTTAGCAGGAGAAAATGTGAAAAATGTCTAATTACACGGTTTTCGGAGCTTTATTTTTACTGAAATCGTGAGCTTATCTCTAATCGTTTCTCAGTCAACAGTAATAAAAAATATACGGAGTACTCCGTATAAACTATAAAGACCTTCCAAAGAAGACTTGAATTGAACTTTTTTTGATCTCATGGGAAATCCTAAACATTCAATTAAAAAGGAGTTTACCGACAAAGTGTCGCCACGCAACCAGGTGCCTCAGCCACCGTCTACGGCCGCGCTGCATGTTATCGATCTCAGTACCAGCGAGTCGGATTCCGATTCCGGCGATGGGAGGCCCAGAAAGAAGCGGAGGAGTGTGGAGACATCGGGTGTTTCGTTGCCTTTGGGATTCTTGGATCCTCTGCATGAGTCTCTAGACTCGCCTCTCCTCTTGCCGCCTCCGTCTTCTTCTTCGCCGTCTCCAGTTCCGGCTGAGAATGTTAACGGAAGTGGTGTGCAGGATTGCATTGTCAAAAGTAGCTCCAAGCAGTTCTGGAAGGCCGGGGATTACGAAGGGGACTCTCGCAATGATTGGGTATCCTCCTCAGGTAATTTGCACACACAAGTAGCCTAAATAGCCTAAATGTGTAATTATTTCCCGATTCTCTCTGGGAATTTATTGGAAATTTGGAATCTTAAATGAAGCGCTAATAGATAGAGATGGAAAGTGATTAGTGATATCTAATCATTTTTACTATCTTAGTTAAGTTGAAGTAGGTACTTACTCTGCTCTGTGAGTGGACTACTTTCCACTTCTCCAAGTTGCAGACTTGCAGCTGTGATTTATAGTTTAGGCTGCTGCACAGTTTGATAGTAAAGTACTGCTTGGTTTCATAACTTAAATGTCCTTCGTACTACTCAAGCATATCTAAATCTCAATATACTACTGAGTATAATTTAGAAGCTGGAATATATAAAATACATTATGATACAGAGAATTTTCAGACGTCCACAGTTCTAACGCCAAACCTATGCACAACATCATATTTACTTGTGCAACTTTTGGCATCTCACTCTATCTCTTTATCAGTTAAGGTAATCTCGAAATCCCATTGCTACCATGTTAGTATGTTACCATTGCTTCCACCTCCACTGAACTTGTACTCCATATACTCAATGTTGCTTTGAAGCCTTCGATTCAGCCTTAGAACCCTTGTTTTCCAGAGTTTGTTGTCATACTTCCAAATTGGCTTTAACACTTGATCTTGTCTTCTTAATCAACACAATATCATCGACATCATGCACCATGGTATATCTTCTTCAATTAACTTCATGAGTTCATCCATGACTATAATAAATAAGAAAGGACTTAGAGCCGATCCTTGATGCACTTTGATAGTAATCACGAAGTCAATTCAAAAAGATATATTGTGGTGCATGATGTTTGCCTTAGTTGATGATATATTGTGATGCATGATGTTTGTCTTAGATTGTATTCATTGATAAGACAATATCAGGTGTTTTATCGAAATTGGAAGTATGACAACAAACTTTAGAGAATAAGGGTTTCAAGCTGAATTGAAGCAAGACTGAGTATATGAAGTGCAAGTTTAGTGGAGGTAGAGGCAATGGTAATAATGAGATTGCCTAGGCTCCATAATTTAGAAGGACATTATGCTGACTAGACTGAATGATAAGTTTTATATGATAACAATTAGACATGCATTACTGTATGGCGCAAAGTATTGGACGGTGAAACAATGTCAAATTCAAAAGATGAGTGTGCCTAAGATGCGCATATTGCATGTGTGGACATACTAGAATAGACTGTTTGAGGAATGAGACAATTAGGCAAAAAGTGGAGTAGTGTCTATTGGAGATAAGATGTAAAAGTCTTGAATGCAGTGATTTGGACATGTGCGTAGAATACTAGTGGTGCACCTTTCACACAAGTTGAAAAGTGGAGAGGAGAAGGAGAGAAGGTCCAAACAGATTTGGATTAGAGTGGTCCGAACTCCAAAAGTGCGATAAAAAATTATTAGTAATGGTCATTCAAAAATTATATATTACTCCCTCCGTCCCTTATAACTTTGCCAACTTTCCTTTTTTGGTTGTCCCAAAAACTTTGCCACTTTCCCTTTTAGTCAATCAATTTGTGGTTCCTGTTATTTCTCTCTCCTCTGCACAAATCTCTACCACACAGTTTTTACTTTATTATTCTACGTTCTGGTCAAACTTGGCAATCCTTTTAGGGACGGAGGGAGTAGTACTTAATGTTAAAATGTGCCCATATTGTAAAAAAATTGCATGATAATGATATACACAATAAATTGTAATAATGAGACAACACATGTAATATTACAAAATTAGAGATTGCAAAACACTTCATATTAGATGACATTCAGAATTTCATCTCCGGACTAGCATCATCTATTTAATAAGGATTTTGAGACCTACCTGAATCGTAACCCTTGACACTGGAACATACAACTGTCTATGGTAAAAAAAAGATTTTTCATTAAAAGTCCTACATGATTTCAAGTGTGTGTTCTTAAAAAAATTATTTGATGTTTAAATGTTTTAAAATAAATCATTACATTTCTTTTCCTGAAAATGTTTCTGAAAAACATAAAATGTCAACATCGCTCTTTAACTTTTATGTTGAAATCACAGTTCGCTGTAACATTTATGTGTTCTCAAAGTGGTTCTGATTTAGGTATTTTTTATGTACTCCCAGGTGGAATGGACCGCGTCAGAGTTCACCCTAAGTTCTTGCACTCCAACGCAACCAGTCACAAATGGGTTCTTGGAGGTATGATGAGTATCTAATTTTGTTTATGAAGCTATGATGCATGAGTTAAGTTGTGTAAATTTGACTATAAAGGGTTTAAAGTTTGCTTTTACTGGGAATACCTCAATTTTGCTTCATTGAATGTGTACCTGCAGCTTTTGCGGAGCTTCTAGACAACTCACTGGATGAGGTATATTTTTTATTGCTCTAAGATCATTTGTGTATTATAGGTTGTTTTTTTGCATTTTTTCTTCCCTCACACCTCCTTATATAAGCTCCTTTCAATTTTTTAGAAGGGAGTAATTGTCTAAAGGTAAAAAGTAATCAGCATTGTAGCTAAGGGACTGAGTAATTAATATCTTGCCTTCATTGCTTCATATATATTAGGAAAAAATTCTTTTTTAGTAAGGTTCACTTTTCATACCAGGGCTGCTAATGACTTTCTCAATTCTAATCCTTGACATACAAAAATGTTCAATTGCCATCTCCCAACATTCACAGTTATATTTAGTTCTTGGTCTTGCTGTTAAATTATTGGATTTAAGTCCTTAACTCTAAGCTTATTAATTTTCTTGCCGTTAGATTTCGAATATAAATTCCATTTTCCTACAAATTGTTCATCATGTTAACTTGATTTTTCTTTATGTAGTCTTTATCTTTTTTGAACGTTAGTCAACTTTACTATGAGCTTCCATAATCCTATATTTAACGTGCATATTGAATTATCCAATATTTCTGCCGCCAAGTTATTTAAAAAAACTTGTTTAAAAGTCAATACTAGAAATACAACAACATCCAAGCCTTAGTCCCAAAAGATATTGGGGTCGGCTAACATGAATCGATACATGATATCACAACCAAAAGGAAAAGAAGGAATAAAGATAAAAAGATAAGCTATTATGAAAAGATAATATAAAAAAAGATGAATATATATAAAAATGATAAAATAAAAAGACTGCAAATAATGCCTATATATATATAAGGATAAAAAAAACTAGGAAAAAAAAAGATGAGGGAAAAAGATTATCAAGATCACTCCTTCACGTGAATACCCGCCCTCCACTTAGTTCTCTCCCAAGTCATGCCCTCATCCAACCCCAGAAGAAGCATATCACTTCGAACTCCCCTAACCCACGTCTGTTTGGGTCTTCCTCTCCCTCTCTTCCCTGCCTCTTCTCCACACATCTCAACTCACCTAACAGGTGCATCACTCGGTCTTCTACGCACATGACCAAACCACCGTAGGCGCGACTCCCGCATCTTGTCTTCAATAGGTGCTACTCCCACCCTTTGTCTGATTGTCTCATTCCTCACGCGGTCCTTCTAGGAGTGCTACTCCCACCAATACTAGAAATAATTAGCAAAAATAATTAACAAATTCCAACAAATATGTGTCAACAAGTTCTAGGAGTGCATTGTATTGGTGGTTTACCTGTAGCGAAAAGAGATGTTCTTACGTATTTGTGGGTCCATGTTTGTGTATTTACAATGATGGGAGATCGTTGACATAAAGATAACTATCTTTGACGTATCTCTAGGTTTATAGACACTATCTGACTTCAGTGAAAGAGGCCAAGTTGCACCTATACAAATTGTTTGGGACTTGGGAGCATTAGATTTATAGTGTGGGAGAAGTGCATATTAGAATTCGACCAAAGATATGATTCTAACAAACCACCTTCAAGTTGTTTCACTTTCACACAAATAAGGACACTAGTATTTGTAAACTAATCTTTTGTCAATAGCTTGGTAGTGGTGTCCACATATCATTTCAACTTGTACTACATTTTCCTTTCGGATACTTTTTGTGTTTGAGGGTGATGTTGTTTTGATCTTCATAGCTATCATCAAAATCTTGCCTCCATTGTCTGAAGTCCAAGTTGATGAAGCCAACATTAGCTTAGTATATGTAATTGAACATGGATATTGAAATTTATTTCAATTAATAAGTATTTTCAGTTTGAAAAATTTAGTCACAGAGTTACTATATTTCACAATATAGTAACAAGAGTTGGTGGAAGAGTACTCTTATCCCGTTTGACTTGAAAATTTAGTCACAGTGTTGCTATAGTTCGCTATATTTTCAGTTCACTCAAAAAATTAATTACTGAGATGCACATGCTGTGTTGGATGTGTGGACATAGTAGAAAAAACCATTTGAGGAATGAGACAATTAAACAGAAGGTGAGAATAACACCTATTGAAGATAAGATGTGAGCGACTCGATTGTGGTGGTTTTTTTCATGTGCATAGAAGACAGATTGATGCACCTCTTAGATGAGTTGAGAGGTGAGGAGAAGAGGCAGGATGAGAGAGGAAGACCCAAATAGGCATGCATCAGAAGGGCCATGAATGATATGGTACTTCTTGATTTGGATGAGAGTATGACTTTGGAGAGAATGAAGTGAAGGGATGATATATGTGTGGAGGATTAATCTCATTTTATTTATATATTATCTTCTTTATCTTTTTATCTTTTCTTATCTTTTTATCTTTCTTAGCCCTGATTTCATATGTTGATTTATGTTAGCTGCCCTCAAATTCTTTTGGAGCTAAAGCTTGGATGTTGTTGTTACTATATTTAAAGTTAAATCTAATTTAATACCTTCAAATTTTTAGGAAGATGAAGCTTGAATGATTTTGAAGTAAAAAAGTGAACTTTCCTCTTCTTTCACCTATCTTCTTAATTCCTATGAAAGAGTACAGTTGTCTTACAATATTAATTTTGATTAGGCCATTAATGGAGCAACTTATGTGAACATAGACATGGTCAAGAGTAAGAAAGATGGGAGCAGAATGTTGATGGTTGAAGGTATTCTTTTCCATTTTCCATTAATTTTTTGTTTCATGAAACTATTTATTCACTATTTTAGGGATAATTTGAACTCATATCATTTAGCATAATGAAATTGAGAAAAGGGGCGGATGACTTAGCCCAAGAAAATTTGCTAGTTTGTAAAGTTGTCAATGAGGGTAGTTGGTTTTTTTGGTCATTGTGTATACATGATTAGTTGTTCATTGCCTCATCAGTCACTCTTGTAATAATCATTTATGATATTTCCCATTTTACTGTCAATGTATGTAGGCTTGCTTACAATCATGACTACTTAAGCAAATGGTTAATGTCAAAGGACTAAAAACGCAAAAATTTGCCATATTTGAGGAATATATGGAAAGTCAATTTCTTTATCTGTGAAGCATTTATAGATGTTTTTCATTGCTGATTATGAGGTCCAAAACCTAAGGGTGGGCACTAGTATCATAATTTTTTATTAGAAACTCAAGGAAATGAATTTATCCTTTTACCTCACAATAGTTTCCTAACTTTGACTAACAACAATATATTAAGAAAATGAAAACTATGTGGTTGAGATTTATATAAAAGGATAAAATTAATATGAACTACAAATCTATTGCCTTAAAGGGAAAGTGGCAAAGTTCATTTGGGGCAGTCAAATCAGGCAAATTGGCAAATTATTTTGGCAGGGTGCACAGTGCACTACTAAGTACTCTCCTTGGTTTGTGTATTTAGTTGACTATGACTTAAGTAATGACTAGAGCGATTGTTATTATTACTAGTACTATTATTATTATTATTGTTAATGTTGTTGATATTGCTTTTGTTGCTGAGATTATTCAAACTATGATGATCACGACGATTATAATACTATTATTTTTATTAGCAGCAGTCAGCCAACCAGCAGCGTAAACAGTTGGGAAAAGGACATGTTTGTCCTTTTCTAAAATGTTCCTCTAAATGCCCGGATTAGATTTAAATGGCCAATTGCACATATTTTCAAGGTTGCACGAACAGTCATTTTTCGTTGCCTGTTTGCATTTTGTCCAAAAGTTTATTTCGCTTTTGCCTATTTGATATTTGGTGTTAAATCCGGAATGGCTGAATACGACATCTTCCCACTCACTGTTTCATTTGTGCCATAGTAACATGGAAATTGTTTGATGGCTTCTTCAGATGATGGTGGTGGAATGGACCCAGATAAAATTCGGCAATGTATGTCCCTCGGATATTCTGCGAAAAGCAAAATTGCAGATACAATTGGGCAGTGTAAGTATTACTTTGATGTTATGCACTATGGTTTTAAAATTTATTCACCTTGTGCACCTTAATTTAGTGCTTTTTCAATGTCATATTAGATGGTAATGGATTTAAGACGAGTACAATGAGACTTGGAGCTGATGTTATTGTGTTCTCACGCTATCCTGGGAACCCTGGAAAGAGGTTCTTTGTCCGACTTAATTTAGCTAGTACAGTGATTCTGTTGTGGAATTTCGAACATTCAAGCTTAATTGCATTTTCTGGAATTTCTTAGAGTCATGCGTGATTTTGTACCAGGACTCTTAATAGTTTCTTACCCAGAACTGTAAGAGACTGATTATTTAGGACATGGAAGCATATATTATTTCAACATTGCAAAGCGAAGACAACCCCACTTTTCAACATGGTTGAACTGAATCTATTGATCATTCTGTGATTTTTTTCTTTCCCCGCTACACATTGCAAAGAAAATATAATCCCACTTTCCAAGATGGTTAACTGAAACTCTTGTTCATTCTGTGATTTTTTTTCTTTCCCTGTTCCACCTTGCCTGGATATGAAACAATCTGCTATAAAGCAACAAATTAAGTTAGTCATTTGTCTGAAGGAAAATAGGTTTTGTTGCTCAATTTTTTAGGATTACTTTTCTTTTTGTACTCTATATATGAAACATCTTAGGCTCTACATAATGCCACTGCATTTTCTTCACAATAGCACTCACGTTTGTCATTTGAAATTATCTTGTGAAAGTAACAGTTGAATAGAATGTAGTAAATATTACAAGTCTTCTTAGTTTGTTAGTAGACTAAGAATAAATGTGGAGTAGATTCAATCCTCCCTATGATTGTTTGAGTTTTTCTTTAAATAGTTGTTTTTGTACTCCCTTACAGACCTACCCAGAGTATAGGACTCCTCTCCTATACCTTTTTGCGTAGCACTGGGATGGAAGACATTGTTGTTCCCATGGTAATGTTGTTAAGTTATTATTATTATTATTATTATTATTATTATTATTATTATATGCTCTTTCTTACTTGAAGGTTTTATATATAAAAATGTTTAATGTGAAGTCACATTATAATATTATCAAACATTTTTACTTGGAGGTCGCACATCTGTGTGGACGATTGATGTCTTTTTTACATCTCCTCTCTTTTCTTTTTATCGTCTATCTTCTTTATCTTTTTATATTCTTATGTGATTTTTATCTTCTAGCTTTTTTATGCTCTTTTATTTTTCTATCTTTTATCTTTCTTATATTTTTATGGTATTGTTATCTTATATTTATTTATCTTTATTTTTGTCCGTTTTATCATACTCCCCCCCTCCTTGTTTGTCTCTCTGTTTGGCATCGATATCATAGATCGATTCATGTTAGCTGACCCCAAATTCTTTTGGGATTAAGGCTTGGATGTTGTTGTATTTTTTATCCAAACATTTGTATTTTTTATCCGTTGACTCATGTATTTCAATTTTTTGCATTGCTGCTATTATTATTACACATTCCTTTTCAAACTCCTATATGCTGCACCTTTTTATCTTGTGGCAGCTTGATTATGAAAATAAAGGGAAAGCATGGAATCCCATAATCCGGTCATCTGCTGAAGACTGGAACAGAAATGTTGAAAATATAGTTAGGTGGTCCCCATTCTCAAGTGAAGCAGATCTTCTTAAACAGGTAATTTTGCCAATGGCCACATTGTGGCAAGTATACTTGGGTAGGAAATATCTGTCTTATCCCATTAACCTTGTTAAGTGACTAAGTCAACCAATATCAGAGAAATATAAATCATTTCATTTTCATTTTCATTTACCCCAGTGCCGCAAAGGCTCCCACCTACGGTGGGGTAAGGGGGGGTCGGATGTATGCAGTCTTACCCTTGTACTAAAGCACATAGAGACTGTTTCCGGATGACTCATAGTGAAAATCGCGTCCAAAATTGCATGGACTGACTGCTGCTCCATAACAAAGAAGCGCAGACAGTTTAGTGAGCCATTTTGCTTTATTCCATCATAAGAAATATAAATATACAATCAAATTATCAGGTATTGAACTACTCTTCCAATTATGTTGGCCCATGGATAGCTAAGTCTTAATGTGGTATCATGGTATATTAACTTCAAATGGTAATTCAATATTGGTAAGCCTAAAAAATGAGTACATGAATTTCAAGATTTGTCTACTCTGGCAAGATACTATGTTGTGACTTGTGATGCACGTCTTGTTATCCCAAATCAAACAAATATAAAAATGCAAACTAACAATAAGTTCTTGGGTTACTCCTCGTTTATGGTTGATCTTTTCAGGATGAAATGGCAAGCAGTGTCTAAGAAGCTGCTCTTATTATGCATTTTGACGTATATTATGTCATCTTAGATTTTAAAATGAATAACGAACATCTTTACATATTCTATTCATGCCTGATATATTTAGTTAGTTTTACATTACTCTTTTTATTTCATTTTCAACTTTTTGGATGACACTTTTAGTTTTTTCTTCCTTCATATTCTATAAGTGTCTATGTTCAATGTCTGTTTATGCCAACTCTTCATCATTTAGGTGCATCCAGTTTCTTATTACTCTATGACTCATGTAATTGGGATAACTAATCTTAGATCACTGAGTAAAGATGTATTTCGTAAATATGTTTGACTAAAAATAAAAAGCAAGATACTCAAAGATCATGTGAATCCCATCATCCCAATTCCCCTTTTTAAGATATGCCAAAAATACCACGTGAGTTGAATAATTTTCAGTAGTTTGCTTATGTATGAATCTTGACTTTTTTGTTTGAATCGTAATGTGTGCTAATTGTATCTTAACAAAAACAGTACTCCCTCTGCCCCATATTTCATGTGTTGTTTGCTTTGGGCAATGTTTTAGGGAATGTTTTATTTTGATCACTTGTGCGCTTTACATAAATGATAGTTCATAGAACAGTAGAGTAGAGAAAAAATAATGCAATTATTGCTACATCAGAAACATTTCATAGGAAAAAAGTTCAGTGCAACTATTGTCCAAGCACACTTTTTGTGATGAATTACTAATGGAGTTTAATCCTATGCCTATAACCCAGCACAAGTGGATACCCATTACATTTAGCAATTTTTCCATTTAGCCATTCACGTGATCAAATAAATATTACATTTACCCACTCAATTATTTTCGCGCATAAATTTTATCAATAATGAATAAAGAAAACATCAAATGGGAATATAGTTATTAACTTGGAAAGTGAAAAAACATAAAACTGCTTTTCTTTTCAGTTACCATTGTGACATTATTAACCAATAACCACTCCCTTCATCATCATTGTGCACCTTAATTCCAACAATATTGGGTAGGTGTCATGAGAATAAGAATTTCATTATTATGCAGTGTAACTTTTATTTTTAGCCTTATATGCCATGGGAATATGATGGAATAAAGCAGAATGGCTCATTAAACTGTTTGCGCTTCTTTGTTATGAAGCCGTAGTCAGTCCATGCATTTTAGAACAGGGGTAAGACTGCGTACATCCGGCCATCCCTTACCCCACCATAGGTGGGGGAGCCTTTGCGGCACTGGGGTAATGACGAAGAAGAAGATATGCCATGATGATTTTGGTGACATGTTACATTTAGTTTGTTGTATATCTAACATTTCTTTTACGGTCATATTTTGGCATATGGCAGTTCAATCAGATGAAAGATCATGGTACCAGAATAGTGATATACAATTTATGGGAAGATGACCAAGGTCTACTGGAATTAGATTTTGATGCAGATCCACATGTAGGCTTTTAGCTCATAATTTGATTGGCTTTCTCTATTGAATGTGATATCTTGATTTGCCAATAAGATTTCTATGTTTTCCTTCTCAGGATATCCAAATAAGAGGTGTCAATCGAGATGAAAGAAGTATACAAATGGCAAAACAGTATCCTAACTCCCGCCATTATTTGACTTATCGTCATTCATTAAGGGTAAATTAATATGTTGTTTCTACTTTCAAGTAATTAAATGTGTGTGTGCTTAGTTTCCCATAGTTGTGTCTTGAAATTGCTATAAAGATGCACAAAATATTATGTTCTTGCATATTTTGATGGGATTGAACTTATTAGGAATGTATTCTGTTCAGTATATTGTACCTAACTAACTAACTACTATTAGTACTATCTCGTGTGTTAGTTGTTAGTTAGCAATACAGTTCTTTGTCTATAAATACTCTGTAAATCTGAACTATCCTAATCAATAATATTCAAATCATTTCTCTATCTTTCTGTTGCATTCTGTTTATCAATATGGTCTAGAGCTTGAGTTTTTCGATCATGGCGCCATCGTCAACCGCAACCTCTTCCACCACCTCTTCCGCCGGAAATACTCCATTTCCGGTGAGCTTCTCACATCCACTTCCTCTCAAACTTGATTCGAATAATTTCCTTTTCTGGAAACATCACGTTGAATCCGTCATCCGTGCTCACAAACTTCTGAAATATGTTATCGATCCTGACATACCTCCGCGATATCTCACCAGCGAACATGAAAAAGAAGGTACGATCAATGACACATTTGTTACCTGGGAACAGCAGGACCAAATGCTCTTTTCATGGCTTCTATCGTCGTTATCTGAAAGTCTACATGCTCGAGTGATTCATTGCACTCGTTCGTATCAACTATGGGATGAACTGCACAATTTTTTTCAATCCAATATCATTGCGAAGGCACATCAACTCAAATCGGAGCTATATTCTACTGTCAAAGGTGAACGATCTATAGCTGAATATCTTCTCAAAATACAGACCATTACGAATAGTTTACTGTCCATTGGCGAACCAATCTCAGCCAAGGATCATATCAATGTGGTCCTTGAAGGTTTACCTGAGGAATATGAGTCTCTCGTTTCCTCGATCTCCTCTGCTCGCAGTGCTTTAGATCCAGCTACATACTCTGAAGTTGAGTCTCTACTCCTTGCGAAGGAACTGCGACTTCGCAAATTGCGTGATTCATCGCAAACTTCACAGTCTACTCTCTTCTCAGCCAATGTTGCTCGCCTCGAAGATCTATCTATCAACACTTCTCAGCATCAGAATTCGCAGGAAAATTCAGTTCAATTTGCTCAGTTTGACAATGCACAACGAGGTGGTAATCAATTCCGAGGAAGAGGACGCAACTCTAATTCGCGAGGTGCCTCGCGTGGAGGAGGTCGATTTGGAGGTCGCTCTTCAGTCACTTGCCAGGTCTGTGGCAAACCAGGTCATAATGCTCTCATGTGCTATCATCGTTTCAATCCTAATTATCACACCTCACAACCAACATCCACCTATTCTCCATATCCTATGCCTCATCCACCTCCACTTGCACCTCTACCTATCTCACCAATGGTTCCATATCACCAATCCTCTTCTAATCCTGCACATACTGAAGCTTCATCTTCAAACTGGCAGCCACAATTACATCCTTCTGGCCATCATCCATCTGCTGCCTGGGCATATGCAAATTTCTCCACACTTGGACCTGCACCTAATCAGCCTCCATCTTATGTTCAGCCTTGGTTTCCTGATTCTGGTGTTACACACCATGTTACTGCAGATCCAACAAACATTCAACATCATGAGACATCAGCTATGCCTACTGATAAGCTTTTTATGGGCAATGGACAAGGTTTGGCTATTAAGTCTACTGGTTATTCCTCATTTCTATCACCTTACAATCCTTCTTTCTCACTTACTCTCAAAAATATACTCTATGTTCCTACAAATACTAAAAATCTGGTTAGTGTCAGTAAGTTTGCTAAGGATAATCATGTATTCTTTGAATTCTATCCTTATGAATGTTTTGTCAAATCTCAGGGTTCTAAATAGGTTCTTATGCATGTAGGCTTGGCAGTGATGGTCTCTACACATTTGATTCTGTTTCAGCTCTTGCTTCAGTTCCAGATGTTTCAGTTTGTCATTTCAGTCAAAAACCTTCTCATTAGTCAGTCAACTACTTGTAATGTTGCTTCATCAAGTTGTAATAATCAAATTCCTTGTAATAAGTTTGTGAACAGTTTGTCTGCTTTACAATCTAGTAGTACTAATAATTGTACTCTTTGGCATTTTAGACTGGGTCATCCTCATTTTGCGGCTTTAAAGTCTATTCTCAAACAATGTAATGTTTCCTATCCTTCTAAAAATGAAATCAATGTCTGTTCTGCATGTTGTCTGGGCAAAGCACATCGTTTACCATCTCATAGTTCTACTACTACATTTATCTCACCTTTTGAACTCATTTTCATTGACCTATGGGGACCAACCCCAATTTCTTCATTTGATGGGTATTCTTACTATATATCTTTCATTGATGCTTATACAAGATATACATGGATATACTTTCTCAAAAACAAATCTGAAGCCTTTTCAGCTTTCAAAAATTTCTATGCATATGTTCACAGTCAATTTTCTACCACTATAAAATCTGTACAATCAGATTGGGGAGGTGAATTCAGGCCCTTTACTTCCTTTCTCACTGAAAAAGGCATAACACATAGATTGATTTGTCCTCATACTCACCATCAAAATGGTGTAGTTGAAAGAAAACACAGATCTATTGTTGAAAAAGGTCTAAGTCTATTAGCCCATTCCTCCCTTCCTTTCAAATTTTGGGATGCTGCCTTTGCTACAGCAGTTCATCTTATCAATAGAACTCCCTCAGCTTCTATCTCTAATATAGTTCCTTATACTGAACTCTACAAATCTGTTCCAGATTACACCTTCTTAAGAGTCTTTGGATGCTCCTGCTATCCTTTTATCAGACCATATAATAAACACAAATTTCAATTTCATTCTGAGGAATGTATCTTTTTAGGATACTCTCCTCAACACAAAGGCTATAAGTGCTTAGCTTTTACTGGAAAAATCTATATATCTAAAGATGTTATCTTTGAGGAGTTCAAATTTCCTTATACTCATTTGTTTCCTCCAAATACTACTTCTACTTGTCAATTGTATTGAATTGAATTGAATACCTCTCAATGTGAGGGTTCTTCCTATTATATAGAACAATTACAAGAATAAATAAGGCAATTAAAATCTACCTATTAATTACAAGATACTATACAAAAACATACCATAACTAGAGAAACTAATTATGGCTAAATATACAAAATATATATGCTATATCTGATTGACATCCCCCCTCAAATTGATGCTGGTCGATCAAGAAGCATCAATTTGCCCACAAGGAACTGATGACGCTGTCGTGTCATGGCCTTTGTGAATACGTCAGCTATCTGAAGATCAGTGGAAACATGAGGAAGAGATATAACACGAGTGTCCAAGGCTTCTCGAATAGAATGACAGTCTACTTCAATATGCTTCGTACGTTCATGGTAAACAGGATTAGCAGCGATTTGAATGGCACTAGTATTATCAGCATGAAGAGGAGTAGAATCAGATTGAGAAAAACCAAGCTCAGCCAGAAGCCCACGAAGCCAGACAATCTCAGAACAAGCAACAGACATTGCCCGGTATTCGGATTCAGTAGATGATTTAGAAATGCGAGCTTGTTTCTTACTCTTCCAAGAAATCAAAGAATCACCAAGAAACATACACCAACCCGTGACAGACCGCCGAGTATCAGGGCATCCGGCCCAATCTGCATCACTATAAGCAACAAGACGAAGAGAAGAGCCAGCTGGGAAGAACAACCCACGGCTAGATGACCCCAGAAGATACCGAATGATACGGCGGACAGCAGCTAAATGAAGATGGCGTGGAGTCTGCATAAATTGGCTAACCTGCTGAACAGCGAAGGAAATATCAGGCCGAGTAATAGTCAAGTAGTTCAAGCTGCCTACCAACTGTCGGAACATAGTAGGATCAGAAAGAAGATCGCCCTCCTCACTTCGATATTTCAAATTGACCTCCATAGGAGTATCCACCGAAGAAGAATCTTGAAGACCAGCTAGGCGAATCAAATCCTGGGTATATTTGTGTTGATTTAAGAATATACCTGAAGGATCAGTGTGCACCTCCAACCCCAAAAAATACGTAAGAAGACCAAGGTCTTTCATATGAAAAGAAGCCTGAAGATTCTGCTTGAGATGGGCAATCAAACTGGAGTCGGTGCCAGTAATGACAATATCATCCACATACACAAGTAAAAGAACAAGTCCAGCTGGAGTCTTACAAAGGAACAAAGAAGAGTCATATTGGCTTTGGGCAAAGGAGAAGTGAAGCAGAGTTGACCTGAATTTTTCAAACCATGCCCGCGGAGCCTGTTTTAAGCCATAGAGAGACCGCTTTAACTTACACACAGCGGAAGATGGCGAAGAAAACAAACCCGGAGGAGGAGTCATGTAAATATCCTCTTTAAGATCACCATGAAGAAAAGCATTCTTGACGTCCATCTGGTGAAGCGGCCAGCCTTGAGAGGCGGCAATAGAAATAACTGTACGCACTGTGGTCATCTTCGCCACTGGAGCAAATGTCTCCTCATAGTCCACCCCATATTCTTGCCTGTTTCCAAGAGCAACTAATCGTGCCTTATACCGATCCAGAGTCCCATCAGAGCGGAGCTTAATCGAATAAACCCATTTACAACCAATGGCTTTAACATTAGAGGGGCAAGGAACCACGTCCCATGTATGATTGTCCTGGAGAGCCCGAAGTTCCTCATCCATCGCTTTCCGCCAACATTCATATTTAACAGCCTCGGAAAAGCATGTAGGGATGGAAATAGAAGACAAAGTAGTATTAAAAGAAGTGTGGGGAAAACCATACCGATCAGGAGGACGTGATTACTCGGGTAGATCGTCGAGGACCAGATTCAGGAACTGTCTCAGATGGTGGGTCAATCTCAGGAGAAGTGGTCTGAACAGATTCAGATGAAGGGTCAGTCTCGGGAAGGGGCAAAGTCGGTCGACGTCGAGTATACACCATTCCAGGTTTGAACCGTTCAGGCAGAGGAGACAATTCATCAAAACAAGGGATAATACTAATCTCAGGCAATGATTCAACATATGTAGAAAAGAAATATTGATTCTCAAAGAAAACAACATTACGAGATATACGAATTTTGTTAGAACAAGGATCATAACAAACATAACCTTTGTGAGAAATACTATAACCCATAAAGGCACATTTAACAGATTGAGTAGAAAGTTTATGACGTTCGTGAGGAGGTAAATGAACAAAACAAACACAACCAAAAGTATGCAGATTAAGATAGCTAGGATGCTGATGATACAAACGATAATAAGGAAAATCAAAATCCAAAACCTGAGAGGGCAGTCTATTAATTAAATAAACTGCAGTAGATAAGGCCTCAACCCAGAATTTAGAAGGAACAGAAGACTCAAGCAATAAGGTGCGAACAACGTCCAAGAGATGTCGATTCTTTCGTTCAGCCACCCCATTTTGCTGAGGGGTATAAGGACAAGAGCGCTGAGAGACAATTCCTTTGTGATTTAAGAAATCATGAAACTCGTGGGACATATATTCTCCACCAGAATCAGACCTCAAAATCTTAATACCTGTAGAAAATTGGGTCTCAACATATGCTACGAAGGTCTGAAAAACAGACAAGACCTCAGATCTGGACCGAAGAAAATAGACCCAAGTATACCGACTAAAATCATCGATGAATGTCACAAAATATTTGTATCGAGCATGAGAAATAATAGGAGAAATACCCCATACATCACTATGCACAATATCAAAACATTGTTTAGCACGACTACCATGAGAAGAGAACGAAAGAGTCTTACTCTTACCAAGTTTGCATATAGAACAGTCAAATGACAAATTTTTAGAAACTTGTTCTTTATTGCTTAACAAACCAGAATTTAACGTATGAGATAGAACAACAGAGTTTGGATGACCCAAACGTTTGTGCCAAACTTCATTTGGAGTGTTAACAGACACACAAGCCAAAGATAAACAACTAGGAATTGAAAAGTGTAGTGGAAATAGTCTTCCAACTTTAGGCCCCTTCGCGAGTATCTTCCCCGACACCTGATCCTGCACAAGACAACCATCACGAGAAAAATGGACATCACAGTTTTTTTCAACTAACTGGCCAACTGAAATAAGACTATTAGACAGTCCAGGAGATACATAAACATATCTGAATGAAGAATTGATATCCCCTACTTCATTAATAGCTAAATGACTCCCATTAGCTACTTGAATATGAGATGAACCATGATATGGACGAACATTGCAAAGCGTATCAGATGAATTGGTCATATGATTGGATGCAGCAGAATCAAGAAGCCAAGACTTATATGAAGTAGTACCATTACCTTGGAGCCCTAAGGCGGAAAAGGCTGACATAATCATCTGCTGAACCATTTCAGGAGTAAGAACAGATGATCCGCCCGTAGAAGAAGAAGCTGAGGACATCACTGCAGCCTGATAGGCGGTAGCTTGACGATTCTGAGGCCGAGTGGGACATTCTTTGATAAAGTGACCCTGTTTCTTACAATAGTTGCAAGATTTCTTAGCACAGTTGGCGGCAATATGACCATACTCCTTGCAGCTGAAACATTGAACCTTGCGCATATCCTTACTTTTCCCTTTCCCGTAGGCGACATAGGCTACTGGATTTGGGTTTGAGTCTTGCTGGAATGTAGCCTGTGTAAGAAGACGCTGCTCCTCACGAAGCAATTCTCCAAAACAAACATCCAAAGATGGAGAAGGATCCCGATTCATTAAATTGGAGCGAGTGACCTCAAATTCAGGGCGTAATTTCATCAGAAATTGATCTCTCTTGCTCTGCTCATGAACAGCCTGAACATCAGAGAGAGATGCATCAGGTACCTTCGCATAAACCATATCAGAAAATTCTCCCCACAAATTCTGAAAACCAGAGAAATACTCCTGAATGGAGAGATTGCCTTGAGTGTAATTAGCAATCTCATATTCTAACTGAAAACGACGTGCAGTATTATCTTGGTGATAAACCTTCAACAAATACTCCCACATAGTTTTAGCCGACTTATAGGGCCTCAGATTGAGCACAATAAGAGGATCAACAGACCCTAAGATCCAGGACATCACACGTGCATCCTTAACCATCCACTTAGCCAAATCGTTAGTCTCCGTAGGAGCTGGATCACTACCGTCAATATGGCCCCACAATTCTTTTCCCATAACAAATAATTTAAATTGAAATTCCCAAGCAGTATAATTTTTTCCAGTAAAACGAACCCAAAAGTCTCGCTAGAAGACATGATGAAAAATAAAAATCTGAAATTATAAAACCTGATTAAGAGTAACAGGGCCACCAGAAGTGTTGAACAGCAAGCCCAATCCAACAGCACCAACCAGCAACCAGCAACCCACCAGAATAGCAACCCAAACAAAGAAAACAAGCCCAGGCAGCAATCAACAATCCACTCAAGTCTAAATAGCAAGCCCAAGCCCAATCCACTCAATCAGCAGCCCACCCAGCAAGAATTTCACGCTCGCTGCTACTCACGCCAGAATCAGCCGCGACCTTCACCTGACCTCAGCCGAAAGTCCACGCTCCTCCAGAAATCGCCGACAGCCCAACTCCTCCAGAAATCGCCGGCGGTCTCAAATCCTCCACGTCGAGCCCCAAATCTTCCAGAACTCACCGATAGCCACTCCAAGACTACTCTGGCAAGCGATAGCTGCAACAGAAATCGCCGGCAGGCTTCTCGAAGCCTCCACGCCGACAGCCTCAAGAAAAAATTCCGGTAAGAGTAACCTTTCTACCCTCAACAGAACTTTTGCTACCCTACCCTCAACAAAAAACTACCGAATAGCAGTTTAGAACCCTCTCCAAAATTATCGACAACTCCCCTGAAGTCACCGACCGCCAAAGAGACCAATTGCTCAGTCCCGACCCAACTCAAAAAACTCGTATCACAACCCTAATTTAGATGATTTAGGCTCTGATACCATGTCAATTGTATTGAATTGAATTGAATACCTCTCAATGTGAGGGTTCTTCCTATTATATAGAACAATTACAAGAATAAATAAGGCAATTAAAATCTACCTATTAATTACAAGATACTATACAAAAACATACCATAACTAGAGAAACTAATTATGGCTAAATATACAAAATATATATGCTATATCTGATTGACACTACTCAATCCAATCAACCTACAAACACACCCTTAACAATTCTGCAAACCGCACCCTCTTCATTAATTCCTTTATCAGACTTATCTTCTCCTTCAGCCTCTCAACATAATACTAATACCCAACCTGATTCATCTAATTCTAATTCTGAGTCATCTAGTTCTAATTCTGAGTCATCTCATTCGACCTCTGAGTCATCCCACTCTAATTCTGAGTCACCTAGCTCTAATTCTCCACCTACCATCACTGCACCTATTTCTTTAGTCCCTTCTACCAATGTTCATCCTATGAACACTAGAGCTAAATCAGGTATAGTAAAACCTAGACTTAATCCAACCTTGCTCCTAGCTCATACTGAGCCAACATCAGTTAGACAAGCTTTTGACTCACCTGAGTGGTTTCAGGCTATGCAGACAGAATATAATGCTTTGTTAACCAACCAAACTTGGACTCTTACTACTCTGCCTCCTGAGAAACATGCCATTGGGTGCAAATGGGTGTTTAAATTAAAAGAAAACCCTGATGGTACTATTAACAAATTCAAAGCCAGATTAGTTGCAAAAGGTTTTCATCAGCAATTTGGTTTTGATTTCAGTGAAACATTCTCTCCAGTGGTCAAACCTATAACTATCAGAATTCTTCTATCAATTGCTATCTCCAATTCCTGGACTATACAACAACTTGATGTTCATAATGCCTTCTTAAATGGTGATCTTCAAGAAGAAGTATACATGGTGCAACCCCCAGGTTTTCAATCTTCTGACAAATCTCTAGTCTGCAAGCTTAATAAAGCTATCTATGGTTTAAAACAAGCTCCCGGAGCTTGGTTTCTTAAACTCACCTCAGCCTTATATTCCTTTGGTTTCAAACAGTCCAAGTGTGATGCTTCATTACTATTCTATCTTTCTAATACAATTCAGATTTATGTGTCGATCTATGTTGATGATATTCTAGTTATTGGAAATAATACTACTGCTATTCAGCATCTTATTCAAAAACTAGACTCCAACTTCTCACTAAAGCATTTGGGGGAGCTTGACTATTTTCTGGGAATTGAGACTCGAAAACTTTCTGATGGCAGTCTACATCTCTCACAGACAAAGTATATCAAGGATCTTTAAGAAAAAGATAGCATGAAAGATTCTAAAGGCATCACAACACCCATGCTTAGTAGTTGTAAACTTTTAAAAAGAAGGATGCAACTATGTTACTGATGCTACACACTACAGATCTATTGTAGGTGCTCTACAGTATGTTACTCTAACCAGGCCAGAAATTAGCTATGCAGTTAACAAAGTGTGTCAGTTTATGGCATCTCCTTTAGAAGATCACTGGAAGGCAGTCAAACGTATATTAAGATACCTTTCTGGTACACTTAAACATGGTCTTCTTCTACAACCTATAAATACTCTGTAAATCTGAATTATCCTAATCAATAATATTCAAATCATTTCTCTATCTTTTTGTTGCATTCTGTTTATCAATAGAACTAGAGTGAAGTTACAAAAAGATTTAGTTCCACAGATTATATATCTTCACGTACACGGTGATTACTTTTCCCTGTTTGTTTGACCTTATTCTAATTTTCATCGTACTTCCAGAGTTATGCATCAATTCTCTACCTTAGAGTTCCGCCGGGATTCCGAATGATTCTTCGTGGTAAAGATGTACAACATCACAACATAGTAAATGACATGATGATGACGCAAGAAGTCACGTATCGTCCTCAAGCTAGTGCAGATGGTGTTCCGAAAGATTTTAATGTAATACTACGTATAAGTTCTCTGAACTTATATACTTTTAGTTTGTGAATTGACCCATCATATGATTATTTCTTATTCTTTTTATGTTCGGCTCTTTTAGATGGTTGCTGTAGTAACTATTGGGTTCGTGAAGGATGCAAAAGCTCACATTGATGTTCAAGGATTTAATGTTTATCACAAAAATCGACTTATTAAGGTCTGTTTTATCCTCACATCAAGGATTTAATGTTTATCACAAAAATTGACTTATTAAAATATGTTTCATTCTTTACCTTATCAGGTATTTGCACTGTTGGTCAAGTTGTTGACATGTAATCCAATGATAGTTTATTCTATATGGAACTGTTATTGTTTTTTTGCTCCCATGCCCATCACGTTCTTCATGTGGATTGCTATGATATCTTATTCTTTGCTTCCATGTCTATCATCATTCTTCTTGTGAATTGCTATAATTTCTGTTCAAAGCTTGCCATCTACTTTGTAGGTCTTTTGGGCAACTTAAATCAAGTCATTTGGATGTTTTCCATTTTTTTTTGCTTTGTTCAGTGTGTATCAGTACTAACCTCTATTATGTTCTACTAATGTAAGCAATGCTGCAACCAACTTTTCTTTCAATTAGTGCTTGATGACCTTTCATCCATGTAAAAATGGCTTCAAGAATTCATGATGACCTTTGATCACCACAGTTTTTTATTCATGCTATAATGAACTGTTCTCATGAACCATTTTCTCTTCATGTAGGTCCAAGGTTTTAAATAATACTACGTATATTGTAAAAAATTATTGTGTCCTGGGAACTTACTGAATGTCATTTCTCTTTTTAGCCCTTTTGGAGGCTATGGAACCCCGCTGGAAGTGATGGACGTGGAGTTATAGGTTTGTTTTTGCCCAGAATTTATAGTTTTTACACTTGTGTTTCCTGATTGCTAGTTTTGTATCCATTTACTTTGCAGGGGTTTTGGAGGCCAATTTTGTAGAGCCAGCACATGATAAGCAGGGGTTTGAGCGCACCACAGTTCTTTCAAGACTTGAAACCAAATTAATTCAAATGCAAAAGACATATTGGTGTGTTTTTGTCATGTATTTTCTTTATCTGCATTTATGTTTTATGTATAGTTTTAAATGTTATTGATTGCTCTCACATTTTCATTCCAGGTCACAAAATGCTCACAAGATTGGATATTCTATGAGGTCAAAAAAGAAAGCTAATCCGGAAAAAGGTTCTTAGCACCCTGCTTGGAGACTATTATGCATATTATTTTTTACATTTCAGTTCAATAGGTAAAAAGAAAGTATATGCAGTGGCGGAGCCAGAAATCTGTGGTTAGGGGGTCAGGCCTTGAAAATTTTAGGACCTGTTACTAATAGAGATATTTTCCAATTTTCCAGAAAACTTGAAAAAGGAAAACAGAAAACGTGTTTACCCAAAAAAGTTGCTGGAAATCTGGAGAAAAGGAAAACAGAAAATTGCGTTTACCAAATTATTTTTCAAAACAAAAAAAAAAATTAGATCTCTGTTTTCCTTGATGAATTGGAGAAGTCAATTTTACCAGTTTTCCAAATTTGGAAAACGTGTATGCTTCAATGTCGTTGCAATAAATTCGCATACTTAAGCATAGTGTTGGATCCGGTCCCGCTCCAGTGTTAGTTCCCGTCCGTACGGTCAACGACCCAACAGTCCCTATCTGGTCCATTCAATGACCTTGCGGTCCGGTCCAGTCATTGACCCGGCGGTCCATGTTCGGTCATTGACTTAGCGGTCCATGTTCGGTCCGGTCGACGGTCGAGCAATCCCGGTCTAGTCTGTTCGATGACCCAATGGTCCCGGTCCCGGTCCGGTTGATGACTTGACGCTCCCTATCCGGTTCGGTCCACGATCCGGTGGCCGTTGTCTGGTCTGGTCCACTACCCTACGGTCCCTGTTCAGTTCGTCTGATGATCTGACGGTCCCTGCTGGTCCGATCCACGACCAGGCGGGTACCTGTTTGGTTCGATCGACGGTCGGGCAGTCTCAGTCTGATTCGGTCTAGTCAATGACTCGGCGGTCTCCGTTCGGTCCGGTCAATGACCTGGCGGTCTGTGTCTTGTCCGGTCAACCACACGACGGTATTCGTCCTGTTCGATCAACGACCCGGCGGCCCCATCATGTCTGGAAAATGACCCAGCGGTCTGTGTTCGGTCCGATCAACAACCGGGCGGTCCCGGCCAGTCCCGTAAATGACTCGGCGGTCCTTGTACTGGCCCGGTCAATGAACCAGCGGTTCAGTCTCGGTCTTTCAAAATCATTTTTTAAAGTGAAGAGTTTTAAAAGAACCGTTTAGTTGTCAACTAATAGGGAAATGGGAAACGAATTCATCAAACTAACTATTGAGATCGGCCGGGATCGGCCGGTTTCGGTCCCGACTTTCCTATATGTGGGACCCAGTACCCTACTTGGGTTGTACTAGGTTCGGTCCCGGACCGAGGCCGTACTTTCGGTCTTTTGTTCGGTCACAGAACCGGGTGAAAAAATTGTATGGACATGTTTTCAGATTTGAAAATGGAAAACTAAAAAATGAAAACAAAAAATTGGAGATAGAAAAACTAGAAAATGAAAACAAAAAATTGGAGAACGAAAAACAGAAATAGAAAAGTGGAAAGTATCTCTGTGGCCCTTACATTGTAAGGACTAAAGTTTAAAATATCAACATATTTTCTATAGCTTAAAAGTATTTATACGTAATATATACTTAAGAATTTTTTTCTTGCAAGGGCCGAGGCCCCCTCAAACCCCTCCCTGTCTCCACCCCTGAGTTTATGATAACAAAAGGAATATGGGCCTCTCTAATGCATACATGTTTAACTTTTGTAGAGGAGGGCTTTGTCTCTCCAGCTTCTCAATCTAAAAACAAGAGCGGTGCAAAGTCTGACAAGGGTTACAGTACTGCTTACGTGAAGGGGAAGCATAATATGGGAACTCGAACATCTCAAAGATCAAATTGTGCTGAGTCATCATTGCCTTATGACGAAGATGACAATGACGATGATGTGCAAGCTAGTGGGGAAAACAATCGAGCAAATGGTGTTTCTCAAAAGTTGTTAACTTCCAGCAAAAGCAATGGAAAAGGTACATCTAAGACAATGCTTTCACCACCAGGATTCACGAACGCAGATCTTGAGAACGATGGGTCGCCTGGTGGAAGATGCAATCATTTATTTAAAAATTCAGAATCCCAGGTAATTTGGACTCTATGCAACCTTTTATGCACCGCTTATGAGTGTGGAAAGTGCCTACACAATACCAATATATTTTTCGTTGAGTATCCCCCATTAGTTATCTATTAGATTTGAGTGTAATTTAGTGTATAAGTGTGAAATAATCCTAACTTCTGCAAGATCTTTTTGGGTTGAGTAGGACCCAATTTAACATGGTATGTAATCCTGGTCTGACGGGTTTTGTGGGTACACTCCCTCTCTATTATTGGAGGCTTCCCACTTTGGGTCGATTCGAGCTCATTTGTTTCTCCAGTTGCTCAGCCTAGCTTGGGTTGAGTCCATCTGTTGAGTTTCTCACATTGGTCATCCACGGGGATTGGCTCTATTATACAAGTATGAGGGAGCTGTATACCTCACCTTTTGAGGATTCTTTTGGGGTTAGGTGCAATTTACCCATTTGTATGGACATGTTTTGAACTTCGTAAAAATGCATGAAAAGTTAGAAGTATGAAACTGTTTGCTTCAATGGTCATATTTTATTCAAAGTTGAAACTTTTCTCATTAACTTATTAATTTGGTGTTCACAATCGATTCCCAATCAAAATTAGGTGTTCTCAAATTGTTCCCAGATTAATGCTATACATTTTTTGTTGTCTGACAGTGTGATACTAGTAATGCAAATGGAACTTTGCAGTCAGATAAGTTATTGGAGACCATAGATCAGTTGAAAAGAGAGAACTCTGACCTTAAAAAAAGGTACAAAGCTTTGTTTGCCGCTATTTCTTTCCCCTGGTAGTTACCAGATTTCCTTGTAGGTTGCGGTTTTAATCTCATTTCCTTCAATAGGCTGAAAAAGAGTGAGGAAGAGATTTTAGGTGATTTGCTGCATGATTTACAGAATGAAAGAGAGAAAAGTGAATCTCTTGAAGCTCAGGTATGTCTCTTTTCATGGATTTTGCTTCCAGTTTAAACCTTTTCCTTACATATATGCTTCACTAGTTATGATCGCATATCCTTGAGTTGGGCCAAATTAGCCGTTTTGGTCTTGATTAACCATTTCCCCAAACAGTCTTTGTAATTGCATTTATTTAGCCCATTTAACTCCTATCCTCCATCTATTTTATGTCAACCATTTTCTAAATTGGAAATCAGATCCAATATTCAACTTCACTTGAAATTAAACTTCCACAAGTCCACATGAAGTTAATTCAGCTATGATGCCTACAATTTTATACATGAACCAGAAACATTTTTGTGTGCTGATGATGACAAGAGATATAAAGCAATTAGCTCATGGGACTAAATTACATTTCGGAGGACCTAAAATACAATGAAGTGAAAACCATATTTGTAAAGATGGATAATCTATCAAGTGACAAAAACGACAGGTCACACAATTCAAAAACTAAAGACGCAGTCAAGACTCAAGCCTTTTACATGCGTGATGTGTGTGTGTGTGTATTATTTATATATAGTCACTCTTCACTGTTTGAATGCTGGAGTTTATCTCGCATGCTGTAGAGTGTAGACTAACTGTCTTCATTACTTGTTCTTGACTTCCTGGATATCCATAAATTGTACGGATCCATATAATTTCCCTTGTGAAGTCATATAGGCTAATGTAGCCCTGCCATCATTTTTCATTTTCATAATGGCGTAATCCCGTTATGATAAACAGTGGTGATTGTGAGACCACATCAGCGTATATGACTCAAGTCATATGATTCCATAAATTTTTTGACATGATTTCATACGTCGTACATTTGTTGCTATTCTCTATGTGTGTGCGTGTGAGGTGTGAATGACCGTCATGTTGTTATGTTTTATAACTTGGTTGTGTCAGGTAAATGAAGCAAAACGAAAGATCGAGGAACTAAACAAGGATCAAGAAAGATTGGTTGACATTTTTTCAGAGGAGCGGCTCCGACGTGATACAGAAGAGGAAAATTTGAGGAAGAAATTAAAGGTTCCATTGATAATCTCATCTTACTATGAGGAAATTGTTGATTTAATATTGTAACTTATGTGTGTGCCCATTATTAGTTATGTAATTTTACTCACTTGCGGATCATATCTTAGGACTAATAATTTTGCTTACATTAATGACTACCTGAATTTACTACCAATAATAGTTGCAACACTTGGCTTTTACGCTATTCTTATATTCTACTATGACCACATTTTATTAATTAATGTTTAAAAATTATATTATAAAACAACTTAAAAGGTTTGTCTCAAAAGTAAAATTTCAGAATATGATTTTTTAATAGTTTTTACTATTACCAATTAATTGTATTAATGGTTAGCCCTTTTCTGTGTTTGCAGGAAGCCTCAAGTACTATCCAAGGTCTGCTTGATAAAATAAAGCGGTTCGAAAGAAAGTGATGGTGGGAAATCTGATGGGTGGTGCTCTTTGCTATAATGTACATCTCTCGTTCATACTCCCACCCTATGTCTCCAGTGTATAGGCAGTCAATGCAGTAAGGTGGGTGGTGGCATGAATGATTTTTCCCACTTTTAGATGTATTATTGTTCTCTCTGTATCATCATCATCAGTGTAGGATTATCACCGGGTTTAAATGTGTCATTTTATGACTCCACAATATTACAACGAAGACGGGCTTTGTAATTCAATATTTCAGTGTCGTGAGAATAGTTGTTTGTAACTTGTAACTTGAATGTTTCTTATTTATACCGTCTTCTTGTACCGATTTTCTTCTCTCTTTATGTTCTCACATTTCACTCAAGATCTAACATAAATATTGGAAACGATGAAAGGTTTTATACCTTCATATTGTGGGACGGATGAAGGTATTACTACTTTTTGTGTACACCAAGAGTCAAACGGATCTCAAAGAACTATCCAAATAATACAGTCAAAGTCCCATAAAGTGATTGGTTATGTCAAAGTATAATTTCATATTTCAATACAAAATTTAGAGGATGTAAAGAATGCAACTCTCATCCAAAAAGATTTGTTAACCATTTTACGATGAGGATACAAGGTTTATACATGATGAGAATACAAGGTGTATACATGATTACATTTAGTTCTATAAAATCAAATGAATTTAAATGAAAAATGAGCAATTAATTGAAAATTAATGAAATAAATGCATAAAAACATTAAAGGCTTAACATTCTATATGAAAAGCAACAAATAACATTTTATCAAAAAAATAAAATGAAATAAATGCATAGTAACACTAGCGTAGAAATTCTATATGAAAAGTGAAAACAATGTCTGGGTAAGTGGGTAATTCTATTTTCCTGCATTCATTTATTGTAGATGTTAAAAAAATCTTAACATCTGCAAGCAAAGACCCCGAAACCGAGATATGGTACGCCACTTGCAAGCATTGCCCAAAAGTGTATAACTTGGGAATTTCTGAAGGGTACGGGAGCGCCACAAGGCATTTTAAGACCAAGCATCCGGCGGCGTATGCAAAATCGGACAAAGGCAAGGGAAAGCAAACACAAATTTCAAGGTTTGGAACTGGTCATCCCTTCTGTAATTTCTCCGATGATAAAAAACATTTGACCGGTATGTCTCATTTAATTGTTGAAGAAGATTTGCCTTTTATTTTTTCCGAAAGTCTTGCTTTAAAAGAATATTCTCAGGGTACTTTAAATCCTCAATTTCGAAATTATAGTCGCAAAACAATTAAAAAAGAAGTTATAAGGCAATATGTTTTGGAAAAGAAAAAATTACAAACGTGTTTCGCAAACTTTTATAAACCCGGCCGACATCGACACTTGTGAAAAAATTGTGAATGTTTTGGTGTTTTTTAATAATGCAACTCAAACTTTTAGTCATGTTTATAAACCTACCGCAAACCAATTTTATGTTGAAGCTGTTAATCTCACCAGTACTTTTTGTGAATTTTCCGATGCCAATTACGTTAGTTATTGTTGTTCTTACATGAAAGAGAAGTTTTTAAAATATTATTCACATATTCTGCATATACTATCCTCCGTATCTCATTAATTGCAACATTGGAATATATACACTATTCATGTACTTTACTTTGACTACATTTTATTTATTAATGTATGTGAATTATTTTTTTGAAAAATGTTGTTAAATTCGTCTCATTACTAAGTTTTATAATCTAATTTTTATTTTATTTTTACTAATACAAAATTAAATATAACGACGGTCAAAGTTGTGCGTTGGCAAACGTGAAATGTTGACTGTTGCGACTAAAAAGAGACGGAGGAAGTATATGGTTTGCATTTATTCTTGATCCTCGTTTTAGACTTGATTATTTGGGGAAATGTTTAGATTACTATTATGCTTCTTTTTTGGTCCATTGCCTATGTACGACGACAATGCCACAGACCCTAAACAAGAATTCCAAGAGGTTAGTAATTTACTTTATCAATTATTTAATGAGTTTCATGCACAATATGGTAGCGCACCCCCTCCTCCATCATGAACCATCTTCTTCATCTAAAGGAAAATCAATTTTGAAATCTGCATTTGGAAATCTTATGAAAAAAAGTAAATCAACTCCGGTTAATGAACAAAGCTCAATTAACGAGCTTTCTTTGTATCTAACATTTCCAGTTGAGTATGAAGAAGGGGATGACTTTGACGTACTTCAGTGGTGGAAGGAAAAAGAAAGAACGTTTCCGATCTTATCAAAGATGGCTAAGCAAGTGCTAGCAATGCCGGTATCAACAGTTGCTGTGGAACAAGAGTTTAGTGCGGTCAGCAACGTGCTAACGGACTATAGAACAAGATTGTGCGCAAACTCTCTTGAGACGCTTGTTTGCTTCCACGATTGGTTGAAATCCCAACGTAGAACTCAAGAACTGAGCATCTATTAGAAGAGGAAGAAGATAAGAGATTATACTATTTCATATTGATCTCAAAAATGAACCGAGTACAAGTATTTATACAATTGGTTATAAATCTAACTAACTTCATAACAACCGGGCCCCATCTAGTATACTGTTTTAAGATGATTCTTCTAGTCTATTACATGATGTGTATCTAACATTCCCCCCTCAAAGTTAGGGTGATTGGTTTGACAACTCAATCACACCAAATTTGTTTTCAAATCAAGAAATCTAGAACTAGAGAGTGGCTTGGTCAGTATGTCTGCAATCTGATGAAGAGAGGGAATATGATAAACTTGAAGTTGCTTGAGCAGAACTTTTTCTCTGACAAAGAAAAGATCAATTTCCATGTGCTTGATCCTGGAATGTAAAACAGGATTGTGAGCCAGTTGAACAACACTGGGGTTGTCACAGTATACTCTGGGAGTAGAAAAGGGGACTTGAAGTTCTTTTAATAGAAATTGAATCCATAAGAGTTCTGCAGTGGTGTCTGCCAGACTCCTATACTCTGCTTCTGTTGAGGATCTTGCAACCCTAAGTTGTTTTCTTGACCACCAGGAAATAATGTTGGTTCCAAGAAGTATGCATGAGCCAGATGTAGACTTTCTGTCATTGGGATCAGATGCCCAGTCAGCATCACATTAGGCTAATATTGGTAGAGGTATAGAAGACAAGGAAATAGGTCTGATAACAATTCCATGATTTACATTTCCAGAAAGATATCTGAGAATGTGTTTCACTGCATTCCAGTGCTCCTGCAGTGGTTCTGCCATGAATTGGCACACTTTGTTGACAGCATAGCAGATATCTGGCCTAGTCAAAGTTGCATACTGTAACATTCCAACAATGGATCTATAATGGGAAGGATTAAAGTAGTAATCACTGCCTTGTTTCTGCAGTTTGCAAGTGCTCACCATAGGTGTCATAACTCCCTTAGATTCAAGCATGCCAGCTTGATTTAGAACATCTCTGATGTACTTAGCCTGTGATAGGTGAAGACTGCCATCTGGGAGCTTGTGTGCCTCTATTCCAAGAAAGAAATCAAGCTCTCCCAAGTGTTTTAGAGAAAATGAGGAATGGAGTTTGTGAATGAGTTGAGTTATGGCTGCTGAATTGTTCCCAGTGACCAAAATATCATCAACATAGATAAGAATGTAAATTCGGACCGTAGAGGATAGATAGATGAGTAGAGAAGGATCAGATTTGCTTTGTTTAAAACTAGCAGCATAAAGAACTGAGATTAGTTTTTGAAACCAAGCTCTAGGAGCTTGCTTTAAGCCATATAATGATTTGTGAAGTTTACAAATCAGAGATGTGTCTTGAACTTCAAAACCTGGAGGCTGAACCATGTACACTTCCTCATCTAGTTCACCATTCAAGAAAGCATTGTTAACATCTAACTGTTGGATGGACCAATTGTGTGAAATAGCAATGGTAAGCAAGATTCTGATAGTGATAGGCTTCACAACTGGAGAAAATGTTTCCCCAAAATCAAAACCAAACTTTTGATGAAAGCCTTTAGCCACCAATCTAGCTTTGAACTTGTTTAGAGAACCATCAGGGTTCTCTTTGACTCTGTAAATCCAATTGCATCCAATAGCATGCTTATCTGGAGGAAGAGAAACAAGAGTCCAGGTTTTATTAGCAATCAAAGCATTATATTCAGTCTTCATGGCTTCAAGCCACTGTGGAGAAGAGAGAGTTTGTTTAACTGATTTAGGCTCAATATGAGTCAACAGTAAGGTAGGATGAAGTCTTGGTTTTACTATGCCTGACTTTGCCCTTGTCCTCATGGGATGATTATTGATGATAGGAACTGAAGGAGGTGGAGTAGTTTGGTGAAAAGAATCAGATGAAGAAGAATGAGGGCTAGGTGAGGAGTGTGATTCATGAGATGTGTTGGGAGGGTGTTCATGAGATGAGGATTGTGATTCATGAGAGGAATATTGTGATTCACAGTATCGAAGCATTGTCTGGAGTATTTTCACTGGCAGATTGATTAGTTGTGGACGTAACATCCAGACGAGCTACATTAGCAGACAATAGATTCGTCTGAGACGATTCACGAAGTTTCTGCAATCGCACCTCTTTAGCAGACAAAAGAGATTCGACTTCCGACAAAGTAGGAGGGTCGAGAATGCTACGAGATGAAATAGATGATGCTAGGGATTCATATTCCTCTGGTAAACCTTCTAAAATCACATTAATGTGTTCCTTAGTGGTTATCGGTTCGCCAATAGAGAGAAGATTATCAGCGATAGTTTGGATCCGAAGAAGGTACTCGGAAATAGTACGATCACCTTTCGCAGTAGTATACAGTTCTGATTTCAACTGTCTGGCCTTCGCAACAATACTTGCTCTGAAGGACGTGTTGATCTCATTCCAGAGCTCATATGAATGTCTGCAATGGATCACTCGTGCATGAAGCAATTCAGACAAGGATGCGAGCAACCACGAGAAGAGCATTTGGTCTTGTTGTTCCCAGGTAATATACAACTCATTCACGTTTCCAGCTTCTTCATCAGCACTGGAGACAAATTGCTTCGGAATTTCTGGTTTGATGATGAATAGAACGAGTTTGTGTGCACGAACGATTGATTCAACATGATGCTTCCAAAAAATGAAATTATTAGCATCAAGCTTGATCGGAAGTTGATGTGCGAAAGTAACGATGGAAGAAGAATTTGTGGAGGTTACAGAATCTGAGTTAGATGACACCATTATTGGATCGATCTAGAGCATGTGCTCTGATACCATATTAGAAGAGGAAGAAGATAAGAGATAATACTATTTCAAATTGATCTCAAAAATGAACCGAGTACAAGTATTTATACAATTGGTTATAAATCTAACTAACTTCATAACAACCAGGCCCCCATCTAGTATACTGTTTTAAGATGATTCTTCTAGTCTATTACATGATGTGTATCTAACAGCATCGAACCTACCCGCCACTTTATGGAGGAAACAATCGAAGATGGCGGAGATTCCGATTGATTCTTATTTATTAAAATTGTATTTCATGTTTTATTTTTTTCTCAAATTTCAATTATACTACATATTTCAAATAAATATATTTTAACTTTTTTATGTCCAACTAATGTTAACTTAATATTTAATCAAAAAAATAATAATTAGCCCAGGCCCGGCCCAAACTGGCCCGCTACCCGGCCGGGTAGCCCAACCCGAACCAGATCCGGTATCAACCCGAGCCGGTTCCGGGCCCATGTTTTAAAAAAAGCCCACTTCGGTCCAGCCCAGGCCCAGTCCATCCCTAACTAAATGAATGTCACGTGAGTAAAAAGATGCAACCTTAGCCTTGGGGAGAGGTCAACCATCTACAAGAAAATCACAAATATATTATCTAGTTCAGTTCAGTTTGGAAAGGTTGGCAGCCAAATTCTGCTGCCAGAGGTAGTTTAGTGTCTAAAAGACTTCTTCATAAACGTACTTCGAATAGTTGTCATAAGTAAAGAAAACATGATAAAATTCAGCAACAACCCATACAAAGCAACCTATACAAGCTATATTAGCTTCGGATCAGGAACTGCCCCAGTTGCCCATTGTTCATGCATCCCTTTGAAGATCACAGCACCAACAGAGTGAGCTGTATGAATAATGATTCCATGGGTGATGCATTTTTATAACTTAATCCTCACCTCCCTGATCTTCATCCTCCTCTTCATCCCCACTCATGTTAGTTATTGCTTCGGTAATTATAGCCTTCACCTCTGCTTTTCTGGGCTTGAAATCCACTTCGAAGTGGGACCCTATAACCGAACCAACATTTTAGTTAAATGGCACTATCCATAACCTGTTTTCTTTTCCTTGGTAAACAGCCAAGAATGATTTAATATAGCATGACGAATTTGATGAAAGTCGTACCTAGTTGCCGGATGATATCATTTACGGTTGCCTGCATTTTCAACCAGGAAAGTTAGACCAGGCTTTAATTGCAAAGCCAAACTATTAGAACGATTATCATCTTCATCATCATTATTAGTACATTTAGTTCATTTTTCATTTTTAATTAATTGCATTGTCTTTAAGAGCTTTCTATTTATGGTAGGACTAAGCCATTTAAGTTAGAACTCTCTAACTTCTTTATTATCACGAGAAAATGGTCAAATAAGGCCTTCTATTATTACGAAATAGTCACATAAGACCATGTACTCAATAAAGTGTCATATAAGTACTTCTACTTGTATAAAGCAATCAAATGAGTCCTAACGGCTTATTTAACACCTCCTAATCCCGATTTTAGCTTACATGTCGATTTTTTTGACTTGTATTTCAACCAACCTTAGTTAAATATTCAACATATGCCGTATAATGTATTCTAAAAAGATGGTCAGAAGTACGTTGAAACCGGGATTAAGAGGTGTTAAATAGGTCATTAGGACTCATTTGATTGCTTTTTAGAAGTAGATGTACTTATATGACACTTTATTGAGTACATGGCCTTATGTGACTATTTCATAATAGTAGAAGGCTTTATTTGACCCTTTTCTCTTATTATCACTATTCTTTAAGAAGTTGCAAAATAGGTCCCTACGTAAGAATAATTAATGTCATGCTTGAAAACTAATGCCAATAACGTGCCATGATAAAGCCCTAGGCAGCTTGCTAAATACTACGTAAAAGATACTTCAAAATAAAAGACACAAATCATCTGCAAAATACTGTTGTACCATGTAATAAACAATCTGATACTTGCTAAATAAAAGATACAAGCACACATCTAAAGTCTAAGACTACTCCTGCTAAACTTTTAGAATGAAACTTAGAATCTCAATATGATACTGTACATAGTAATTGGCAATTCACAACAGGTCTATTCTAATGACCAGACATTTTGGGACATAAAAAGTCGAGGTACTTTTTCTATGTGGTTAAACTTTTCTAATGAAATGCACATTTGAATAGGGTACGATTAAAACAACAAAGACTTACCTTTTCAAAATCTGCACCCTTCAGAATGTTCACCACAGCAGCATATATCTCTTCTTTGTTGGGCTCTGATTTTTTAACCTTCCCTTTTTTTGGTTTCTCTACAGAACGAGGAAAACAGTTGTTCATTGTCTATACTAGATGTAAATGTTACATCATACGATGCTCAGAGTAATATTCTAGGTCTAATTAATAATTAAAGAGTTAAGGCTTGCCTGGCAGCTTCTTTTCAGAAGAAGAAGCCTTTTCAGCTGCAGATGCATTTTTGTCATCCCCTTCACTATCTTTTTCAGCCTTCCTTTTCTTAGAAACATGTGCCTCAGGATCAATTAATGGAGCAGCAACTTTGGTGGGTTTATCCGAGGTTTTGGAAGGTTTGACAAGGATATCCGTATCCCCGGAGCCTTTCTCTGGAGTGATCTTTTCGTCATGATCTTTCATGGAGGATTCTTCTTTGTCCTCTTCTTGTTCCGTGTCATCGGAAACTGTCCCTTCATTATCGCTTTCTTTCTTTGCATCTTCCTCCTCCTCCTCAGACTCATCGCCAGGGGAGCTACTTTCAGCATCTTCGCTGATTTCTGATGATTGCTTCCGCTTCTTTCCAACTGGGCTTTTCTTTTTCTGCTTCAAACAGTGTCTCAAAAAAATGATGATTGAAGATTCGGAATCAATTGTGCAGAAGCAATAGAATGTTGGAAAGTAATAAAAGAGAGCACCTACGACCTAATATTTGTGAACAATGTAAAATAAAAATAGTAACATGCTTAGCCACTCTGTTAAAAGTGACCGATATATATATAGAGAGAGAAACCATTTTTTCAAGACATGCACATAAAATGGACCTTTTTCAAGTTATTGAGCTTAAAATTCAAGCATATGACTAACCTTTGCAGCTTTTTCTGCAGTTTCATTGGTAGATCGTTTAGTTTTTTTTACCCTGCTCCTTCGACTTTTTCTTTTCTGGAGTCACAAGAAATATGACAACTATTAGATTTCGTTTTAAAAAATGAAATTAAATCTTTAAAAATTTGAATAGTCACATCCGTGATCCCAAAAAGGAGCAATTGAGGTTAAATGAGAGGTACCTTTTCCTTCTCAGCGAGCAACTGATCTGTTGTGCTATGAGGAGATTCCAAAAATTCTAACAACCTCACAGTAAGCTCTTCCTGCTAAGTTAAAACACGGGTGGTAATGGAGTGCATTGAGTAGCAGAACCAATGAAATTATAGCACAATACATCACCTTCTTTGATGAAGATTTAATGGAGGCAACATTGAGGATATCACAAAAGTCTAGCAACTTTTCTTTCACACACTTGTCAAGCCTATCTCGGACCTTTCCCTTCTGCTTTTCATGCTGAAAGAAAAATATTCATCATAGAAAGCTATGATTCGGAGTGTTCCTTCAAAATGATATATATATGATCACATGTGAGAGTGGTAAGCAAATAGCTACAGAAAGTAAAATTCATATACCTCATCATCAGGCCAAGTGTAGCCAGAAAATTCACCTATATTTTTCTTCAAGTTGCGTGCCTGAAAATAGGGGGAAGAAAATTTTGGGGATGTAAGGGTAACAATTCCTATATATCCTTGGAGGCAGAAATAATTGGTGCAGAGTGAATAAGACCTTTGCTTTCTTTCCATAAAGAATGCTGTGGAGTATCTGTAGGTTCTCATCAGGTTTCCTCTTGGATAACTTATAAGCCACTGTAGTGATCAAAACAACACATGAGTTCAAGGATGCTTGAAATCATATACTGTGTATATAGGTGTGACGTTTAAATAGTCAAGTACAGTACAAGTCTACCATGTACGTCAAATTCACTAGAAATTAGGATGCAATGTGAAGAAGATAGGATGAGACACTGTATTTTGTAGTGTGGGATGATTCTGTAGTAGGGTGTAGGGTGTGGATTCCCCTCTATTTCACTACATAGGATAACACACGCAATGTTGTGACAGCTTTACATTAAATTTCAGACAAATTATCAACTTGGGAATGCAAACACTGTAAGAATCTCTTCTAAACCATGTCTTCAGTGACACTCAATAATAGTAAAGGACTTTGTATCTTCAATGTCAGGGCCTAGTATCCATCCATACGCACAAAAATAACCAATCACCAAAGGGTGCAAAGCACAAATGAAGCCAGTATCAATGCTAGAGAAGGCAGATAAACGTAAAAACAATACCATTTGGGATGTCCTTGAGCTGCATTCCTCGACCCTACATTTACACACAGATACAAGTGTTCATCAAAAGGACAAAGAGACTTGACATTATGCTAGAGTAAGCAAAAGTAGGGTTTGATTTTGGAAAACAAACTTTCTTTATATTAGAAGAGGGAAATGGAGTGCACATAAAATCCACAGGACTGACAGGAGATACTGCCCTAAAAATGTATGACTCATTGAGTAACAAACCAAAGTAGCCAAAAATGGGGGAAAACAGAAGTACTCATGTCATTTTCCCTAATGTGTGATCCAATTTAGGAGTTTCACAAGAGAATTTCAAATTTATAGCTTCCTGGCCAAATAGGAACTGATCCAAATGTCACCAGAAACAAGATATGAATGATTTTGATTTTATATGTAGAATTTATAAAGCCAAATGTAGTAGCTAAAGGGTTCAGATTCAGATGAAATTAGGATTTAGAAGATTCTAAATTTCCAAGTAATAATTATATACTCTGTTTGCGAACTTTTGTATTCTGACCCTGAAATTAGGAGTGGTCTTCTCAATGTTTCAATGTATTGTGTTATAAGTTCTTGTGTTATAGCCTATAATTACAAGTGAATGACATGTCTCACTTTAATTCAACTAAAGTTTTGTTAAAACAAAATTCAACTAGGCTCACCAATACTTTCAACACAACATCTTCATGATAAATATACATTCTATTAACATCTGTTACTTCTAGGTACATTATAAACTAGGTTAACCTCAATATAAACAGAATATACTATTCTGGAACTTAGAAAGAGTTGCAATGCAATACACTCACAAGTTCAACTGGGAGGTCTATCAAACACAATAATTGGTGGTAAATTTGGCCCGGCACTGAAGTACAAAAGCATAAAGGGAAATAAATAAATATGACAAGTAACCTTCTCAATGGAAAGAGATTTCGGGGCAGCAGAAATTGGGGGAGAAGACACGTAGAAGCGATCCACTGTCTTCCTATCCCTGGTAGGCCTCGTACTCGTACTGGGTGTTGCTGGGGATGACGATGCTTCCGTTTTCTTGTGGGCGCCTCTCTTCTTGCTCACACCTCCTCCTCCCTTTCCCCCCTTTACATCATCATCGTCTTCTTCTTCTTCAGACTTTGCAGCTTGACTATCGTCTGATCCTTCTTCAGCAGGGCGATCGTCTTCTTCTTCCCCAGATTCCGCATCTTTTGGCCTCTCCTCCCCCTCCTTACCATGTGCAGATTGCTTCACTTCTTCTTCTGCTGTTCCTTTCACTGAAGCCATAGATGAAATCTGATGAACTATTGCTGTCTTGACAAGAATGATTTGCACTGCGTTTTTGAATTGATTGATGAGTTTTCAAGATGACGAGTATGGGCAGCATAATAAGGTTATAGATGGAGAGAAGATCCGAATTAAAGAGGGGTCAAGTCAGTTTAGGAGGGAAAATGCGGGAAACACTAGCGCCAAAAATTGTGCGCGGGATGCATATGCTCTTTTTTATAGTTTCCGCCTCTCTCATTGGAAATTGTATGTTATACCGTGGGAGCAGCCCACCGTGAGCATGCTGCTCCCACAGACAAAAATACGCGTGTTACTGTTAACAAAATTAGGTTCACCAATACTTTCAACACAACATCTTCATAATAAATATACATTCTATTAACATCTGTTACTTCTAGGTACATTATAAACTAGGTTAACCTCAATATAAACAGAATATACTATTCTGGAACTTAGAAAGAGTAAGTCCAGTAACTTATTTTTTGTTTTTCCAGTGTCCAGTAGCAGAGTAATGTAACTCGCGTGTAAAGAAATGTAACTCACGCTGATCAGAAATGTAACTGCAGGCAAGTCCAAATGTAACTTGTCTGATACGAACTATACGAAATAAAACATTGATTTCCTTGAAACAAGGAGTCTAATTGCTCAAATACTTTACGTAAATAGTGAATATGTTTTGTTTTTAATATTAAGACCATAAATAATTTTTTTCCTTAAAATCATTTTTTTTGCCAAAAAATTTTTTTTTTTTGCAAAAAAAAAACATTTTCCACCATTTTTTTCCCTTGCAAAAAACTCGTTTTTTTGTTTCAATAGCATGTGTTTACTTAAATAGTGAATATGTTCTGCCAAAAAATATTTTTTTTTAAATCACTTTTTTGCTAAAGAAATCATTTTTTGCCTTGTTTGGCAAAAAATGATTTTTTTGTTTCAATAGTAGAGCTTTATGTTGCGATGTAACTTATGTTATAGAAAATGTAACTCACGTTGATGAAAAATCTAACTTAGATCAATGTAAAATGTAACTTGTTAAGGTAAGTCCAAATGTAACTCGTGTAAAGGAAGATGTAACTCACGCATAAAAAGATGTAACCTGCGCATAAGAAGATGTAACTTCATATACTATCAAATGTAAACAATGAAAACATGAAGTTTAATTGCTTAAATTTTTTTAACGTAAATAGTTAGTATGTTTTGTTTTTTGTATTAAGGTCATAAAAATATTTCAAAGAAAAATAATATTTTTTGCCACAAATATTAATTTTTTTGCCGAAAAATCATTTTTTTCCAAAAAAAAATCATTTTTGTTTGCAAAAAAAATATTTTTTGGTTTCAATAGATGGATTTATTTCGTGATGTAACTCGTGTTATGAAAACATGTAACTCATGCTAAAAAATCTAAATTAGGTGTATGCAAAATATAGCTTGTTGAGACAAGTCTAAATGTAACTCGTGTATAAGAAGATGTAACTCATGGACAACAAGATGTAATTCGCCTATAAAAAGATGTAACTTCATATAATATCACATGTAATTCCATAAATTGGCTATAAACATAACTCACACATATGAAAAACGTAATATAATTCATGTTTTATGAAATTTAAATCGAAAAAACAAATTTTATGTCTTAAAAAAACTAAAAACATATCAAAGAGATAAGAAATATATTTTTTTATAAAGAGATAAAGAAATATATTATAGAAAAAAAATTATGAACATGAAGCTAAAGAATTTTTTTAGATGAATTATTATGTATTGATAAAGAATAAAAAATAGATTCAATTATAATTTAAGATGAAGATAAAGAAAGTAGGATTGCAATTAAATTTTTAGTATTTTAATTTGATGGAAAAAGAAAAGAATTGAACAAAAGAAAAAAAAAGAAAAGCAAAGGAAAAGGAAATAACAAAGTTGGAGACAAAGGAAGTGAGAAAAGGAAAGCAACGTAACTTTCCTAAAAGTGGGATCGACACACCATGCGCAAGGTGGGCCGATCCCACGGTATAATTTGCGAAATTTTGATTTTTGAATCACATACGAGTAAAAGAAAGGAAAAGTAAAGGTTTGATCGGTGTATGCCTCTATTTGGTCCAAAAAGGTGGAATCTCCCACCCTAGGAGCACCCCATACCCCGACCCGACAGGATTTTTGGGAGGATGTTAATCACGGTGACTCAGTCGACCCAATGATGGTAGGCCTTTTTCCCGTGCGCACCAGAGGTCCGGCCTTATTTCAGGTTCTGTGATCTCCACACGGCCGCTGCGGGTTTCGAACCTTGGTCACTTGGTCCAAATTTCCCACCACTGAACCAACTGAGCTACCCGTGCGGGTAGTGTATGTCTCTACTGAATTATGTAGAGGAGAGATAAATAAATATAATCACAAAATAATTATTTTAATGAAAAAATGATAATTTTTGGGGATTACCAAAAAGGAAATGTCAGTAAAAATTGAGCAGATGATAATCTTCTAGTGGTTGCACAATCAATGTAGTGTAAGCGTTAATTTTTTGTCAGAACCTACCAATTAATGGAATGTTCTCGAAGACTGGTGGGAACCACAGGGAGTTAATAGTTAATAGTGATTTTGCAAAGTAGTGTATAAATGAGCGTTGATCATCTTGTAAATTATTCAAGCGATTCATGATTACTTTTTCCCTAACCTTGAAGAACAATACCATTTAGGATGTCCTCATTGACTTGTTTGAATGAGTACTAATTGACTATCACCAAATCTCGTGGCATTGAAATTTTGAATACCAAGTTCTAAGAGAAATGAACATCGGAAAGACCAAATATGTGTGCGCTAGTTTCATCAGGAAACTAACCCACGCATTCCACATTTCGACTAAGAAGATACAAAGTAGTGATTGCACAACCATCCAAACTCAGCCTTGAGGCTAAAGAATCATCATTTAATAAATTCTTTCAAATTCAGTCCTCTTGTGACTCGGATGTCCTGATTGACTTGTTTTGAATGAGTACTAATTGACTTTCACCAAATCTTGTGGCATTTAAATTTTGAATATCATGTTCTAAGAGAAATAAACACCGGAAAGACCAAATTAGGGATGGATTCGGTTCGGACCATCCGGCCCATGACCCGAGCCGGCCCGCTACTGTGCGGGCCCGGGCCCGGGACCGGCCCGGTCTGGTCTGGCGGTCCGGGACCGGGTGTGGACCCGAACCGGTGGGGGAAGCGGGGGAAGCGGGGGCAGGCTTCGTTCATGGAAAATGTGACCCGGCCCAGCCGGGTCGGGCCCGGGTCCGGGTCACAACGGCTACATTTAAAAAAACTTTTGGGCCAAATATGACCGTTGGGTGGGCTGCAGGGGGGTCCAGGGGGTTTGGGGGTGGGTGTGGGGTAAAAAAAACTATAAATACTCCTGATCTTAAATATTTTTCCATATCTCTTCTCCAATTCTTCCTAAATCCTACTCTTAACTCTCTACTCTCTAATTCTCTTATTCTCCAATATATTATATTTATTATTTATATATCTACTTTATATTAATTATCTACTTATAATTTATAAATGATACATTATATTACTTATATTTCTTATCTAATTATATATTACTTATACATTTATTATATCTATTAATATAGTTGGAATTATATCTAATTAATTTGAAGTCATTGTATTGCTCCCATCCGAAAGACCGAAAGTCCGAAAGAGGTACGAAATCATTCTATTATTTACACTTGTTTAATTTTGTATTAACATTACTTGAAAAAAAACTTGTTAATTCTCATTATAGTTAAAGTTAAACTATAATAATTTGATTGTTAGTAAAAAAATAGGTAGTACAAAAAACTAGTTGATTAGTTAATTACTTAATTAGTTTTCACACGAATTGTTTAATTTTTCATTAAAGTAGTTAATTACTTTATTATAATTTTTTATTAATTGCTACCTTTGACTCTAGTTTAAAAAATTAGTTAATTCTCATTATAGTTAAAGTTAAAGTATATTAATTTGATTGTTAGTAAAAAAAATAGGTTGTACACAAAACTAGTTAATTCACTAGTTAATTTGACTATTTATTAAACAATAGTATTGCTATAAATTTTGGTTCAATTCACATTTTTTACTTCACATTTCACTCGAATTAAAGTATTATTTAATTACTAGTAATTTGATTAAAGTAAAATTTGAAATAGTAATTTGCTATAACTCGAATTAATAGTTAGATTGAAGTATTATTTAAAATAGTTTTAATTACTCTTATTAATATATTTGTTGCAATTTAATATTTGTTACATTTTTTAGATGGATCGTCCTAAATATTCGGTTGATATGGGTAACCTCGAGCGCAACCGAACGAAAGAGCTTGCGAGGAAGAGATCCCGCAAAGATAAATCACATATTGACTCTTCATCTCAAAGTCGGGATGATTTTGATACAGGTTACGCAAGGAGGGATGAGGATGCGATGACCGATGAACAACTAGAACAAGAATTGCACCGACATAATAGCCACTTTTTTCAAGACCAACCGGGGACCATTGACGAAGAAGAGCTCGAGGACGACGATGTGGAGGAAGTAATTCCGGAGAGCCACGACGACGACAAGGAGGAGGGTGGCGGCAGCCACAACGCCGACGAGTCTGCCTCATCCCAAACCGGTACGAAAAAAAGTAAATCTGAACTAATGGTTAATAATTTTTCTAAGTGGAAGGACCCGAACATCGGGAATTGGACCGCAGCTTGCAATTAGTGCAAGAAAAACTATAGCTTGGGGATTTCCGGCGAATACGGATCCGCCACAAGACATCTTAAGTCCAAACACCCGGTGGAGTATGCAAAATTAGGCGGCGGAACGGGGAAGCAAACTCAAATATCGAGGTTTGCAAATAACCAACAAGCTTTTGGTAATTTCTCATACAATGATGCACAAAATTTGACTGGTATGACTAACTTACTTGTTGAAGAAAATTTGTCTTATTTGTTTTCTGAAAGTCTTGTTTTTCGTGATTATGCACAAACTTGATTAAATCCGCAATATAGAGGTTATAGTTACAAAACGGTTAAGAAAGAAATTTCAAGACTTTATGGTGCGGAGAAGGTAAGGTTACCACATTATTTTGCAAACTTTGATGGGCGTGTTACTGTATGTTTTGACATATGGGAGGATACTTATCATAATTTACATTATTTGGATCTGACTGTACATTATATTGATAATGATTGGCATATGCATAAACGTGTTCTTGCTTTCCGTGAATTTAATGACCGTCACACCGCTGAACATATTTATATTTTGATTGAGCGTATTTTATCTGAGTCTAATTTAATTGATAAGGTGTTTGCTATTGGTTTTGATAATGCTACTAATAATACTGTTGTTATTCCTAGATTGCGTGAATTGTGTGGTTCTACTTCTTTGATGGGTAGATTTTTTCATCAACGATGTGCATGTCATGTTCTAAATTTATGTGTGCAAGATTGTCTAAAAGTGTTGGGAGCATCTTTGGAGGTAGTCAAGGAGGGATTAGACGTATTTGGGGTAATGAACAACTTAGAAAAATATGGCATGATTATTTGATAGAAAGAAGTGAGAAAAATGTGGCTTTTCCTAAAGATTTGTCTATTCATTGGAATAGTACCTATAAGTTAATTGGAGTTCTTCTTAGATATAAACAAACATTTTCCTGCTTTTATGAAACAATATGATAACTATATTATAAACTCGACTGAGATCGACACATGTGAAAAAATTTGTAATGCTTTGATATATTTTAATAATGCAATTGAAACTTGTAGTCATGTTTATAAACCTACCTCAAACCAATTTATTCGTGAAGCTGTTAATCTCGCCGGTGCTTTTTCAAATTTTGAGAATGCTGATTATGTGAGTTATTTTGCTAGTTTTATGAAGGAAAAGTTTTTAAAATATTATTCACATATTCCGCATATTTATGGTATTGCATTTGTTCTCGATCCTCGTTTTAGACTTAGTTCTTTAGAAGAATGTTTGAATTATTATGTTGCTTTTTTTGGTCCATTGCCAATGTATGAGGACAACCCAATTGATCCGAAAAAAGAATACAGCGAGGTTGATGATATATTTTATGCATTATTTAATGAGTTTCATGCACAATATGGCAATGCGCCCCCTCCCCCGACACAAACATTATCTAAAGGAAAATCAATTTTCAAATCTACATTTGCCAATCTTATTAAAAAAAACGAAATCAACTCCCGCTATGCAACAAAGCACAATTAATGAGATTTCTTTGTATTTAACATATGATGTTGATTTTGAAGAAGATGATGATTTTGACGTACTAAACCGGTGGAAGGAAAAAGAAAGAATGTTCCCAGTTTTATCAAAGATGACTAAGCAAGTGCTATCAATGTCGGTTTCAACAGTTGCCGTGGAACAAGAATTTAGTTCGGCCGACAATGTCTTAACGCAATGTAGAACGAGGTTGAGCGCAGAATCTCTTGATATGCTTATATGCTACCACGATTGGTTGAAAGCGGCCCGTAGAGCTCAAAAAATTGACATCACCCCATCCCAACACTCTATGGTTGAATCTACAACCGAGGGTGGCTCTACCTATGTCGGAGATTTCGGTTGAATGATTGATTAGTATTTCATGTTTTAAGTTTACCTTCAATTCTCAATTGTAACTTGTAAACTTGTAGTTCATATTTCAAATAAATATACGTTCATTTTTTTATATGTAGCATTTTTACTGAATTCATAAAATTAATTAATTAATTTTACATTATGTAATTTATTCAAACTAAAACATACAAAAAAAAAATTTAAATCAAAAGCCCCAAACGGCTATATAGCCACTTTGGTAGTTTGGTTGTTTGAATTTTGAATCAATAGAAGCATAGAGCCGTTGGGTGAGGGTGGGTGGGGGGTGGGGGTACAAAAAATTCTATAAATACTCTTATTTTCTAACATTTTTATACACACCTTCTCCAACATCCAATCTCTAATCTCCATTCTCCATCTTCATCTCCATCTATTGTAGAATTATTATATCTACCATTTTTAAGATGGAAAGTCAATATGCCGTTATACGATATGATTTTGATAAGCAGAAGGACCCGAGGACCGGGATGTAGTACGCAACTTGCAAATGGTGCGGGAAAAAATGTAACGTGGGGGTTTCAGGCGGATACGGGATGACAATGAAGCATATTAAGTCATGTGACAAAGCCAGAGTTTGTTTTTAATACTTGTATAAAACTATAAAGTATAAATTATAAAAAAAATTAGTTTTAACCGGCTTGGCCCGGCCCGACGGGTGGCCCGAACCCGTGACCCGGGCAGGTGGCCCGGCCTGAACCGGACACGTCCAAACCTCGGGCCGGTTCCGGGTCCATGAGTTACAAACCGGCAGCCCGACCGGACCTAGGCCCGGCCCGAGTCCATGCCTAGACCAAATATGTGTGGGCTAGTTTCATCAAGAAACTAACCCACGCATTCCACATTTCGAAGATACAAAGTAGTGATTGCACAACCATCCAAACTCAGCCCTGAGGCTAAATTCATTTAATAAATTCTTTCAAATTCAGCCCTTTTGCGACTCAACTCAAGACCTCCCATAATCGAGCGAAACGGCCCAAACCTTCCCATCAACTCTGTTAACCATTCTCGTGTGTTGTTGCAACCTACTGGGGTCGTACTTCAAGAGTTCAAGTTCTGACCACAAAACCCTAAACCCTAAACCCTAAACCCTAAACCCTAAAACCCTAAACCACAAAACCCATCAACTCTGTTTACCATTCTCGTGTGTTGTTGCAACCTACTGGGGTCGTACTTCAAGAGTGAAAAGAACAAAACTCCACATTCCACAAACATGAAACATCAATAACTTGGAATGCTTGACCACAAAACCCTAAACCCATCAACTCTGTTTACCATTCTCGTGTGTTGTTGCAACCTACTGGGGTCGTACTTCAAGAGTGAAAAGAACAAAACTCCACATTCCACAAACATGAAACATCAATAACTTGGAATGCTTGACCACATGATTGAACATTACTTGAAAATAATAAACCCATAGTTAGAGATTATTAAAGCAAACCCTGGTTGGGAATTGGGATCATTGTTGACACGTTTTCTTTTACCGAAAAACACTTCATCATCCAATTTTCTAAACCCAACCAATACAGGACATTCTTTTTATTAGGTTGAAGGGGAATGTGTTTTTATATTAAGTTAAAAGAATGGCTCAAATCTTATATAAATATGGAATAAACTCACTTTTAAGGAGAAAAGAAAGAAACATGTTCAACAGTCATTTTGATATTTTTGTATCATTTTGATTACACAGCCTAGTGGTAAGGCGGAAAAATGGAAATCCTTTCCTTCCCAGTTCAAAGCTTGAAATATACTTGAAATATCTTCTCGTTGATAGGATGTTGGGGAAGTGCTCATCAAAAGCCACAAACAAAATGGGAAACATAAATTTCATGTATTAAATTATTAATAACCTAAAGATCTCCACATAAGATGCTTCAATCAGTTTATAGATAAAATCATAAAATAATAAATGAGAATTGCAGAAATCAAATAAAGGAAATCCAAAAATAAAAACTTATGCTGAGCTAGAACCAATTCAATGGGTGGCAGGACAGGACTCATTCATTATCAGGAAGTCTCTTCTGGTTACTACTCTCACCCAGCAACTCACTCTCACTGTACAGATCCTTCTGAACAGGAATGTCAGTTAGCTGTTGTGATGATAACAACGCATCCGCAATAGCCTTTCTCGCTGCTACTGATTCGTCTTCTTTTTCCTCCCCGCTGACATCTTTTTGTTCCTCCTCTGCCCCTTTTTCTGTTTTAGGGGGCGGTACAAAGAACGGTATCTTTCCTCTCTGCCAATCATGGAGTACCATCTTTGCAGCTGTCATGACATCAGGTTCCCCACCCTGTGCCAACCAAATACAAAGTAATACACAGAATATATATACGTTATCATTGCTCATGAATCAATATGTACTTATTTAAGATGGTAAAATCGTGATGATGATCCACCATACTACAGTAGAATAGTTAGGTCCTGTTTACTTGGACTTGAATCAGCCCTAGACCAGGCTACTTAAAAATACCAGACCAGTAAACTTCTGTGCAAATGAACATGGCATCATACATCCTTTACATTAACCCTGCCTTGCAATGTCCATTCTATCAAGCTTAAAAAAATATTTAGACTTGCTTGTGTGTTTGAGTTTATTAAGTCTTGAGCATCAAGTAACCATTTCCTCTGAGCGTACCTTTAAGAGTTTGCCTGTTGCCTGACATAGCTGAAGAAGAAAGTCATGTTCATCTTCCCTGCAAACATCATTGGGAGACACTTAATTTCTGAAATGGATGTATTTACAAAGCCAGATGCACATAAAAATTACTTTGGAGCGAAAATGACTCATTTCCCTACAATCATACAGAAGCTAAAACAGTATGGCTTTACATTGAAAAACTGAGGTTATGATGACACATATTCCGCCAGTAAGGCAGTAAGCATTGGGATACATGCATCAGTCTCAAGATAGACTGTTGACTCAAAATAAATAGGGAAAAACATACAAAAGGCTTCTGTAAAAGTAAATGTGATGATTCATGTTAGCCGGCCCCAAACTCTTTTGAGATTAAGGCTTACACATTGTTGAATTGTTGTTATAACAGAAATCTTACCATTCCTTTATCTTATATGCTCTTTCGATATGTTCCTTTTTCACACGGGTTAGCACCTCACCAATGTGCTCAGAAGCATCTTGCAGGTTAGTCACACGAACCTACCATAGAAACCACAAAACCAAATGAAACCTACTTGTTAGGCTCATCAAAAGATCATCACGGATGTACATCCAAACGGCTACAAATGTATCAAGTATCAACATATGTTTCTTTCACTAATTTAATTTAATATATTGAATTAAATATAAAATAAAATGGCCAGGGGATCACACATACCACCCCCTTCAAGACAATATCTGTTTCAGAATCTTTACTTCCATAAACAACACCGGGGCAATCAATCAAGAAGATCCTTTTTGTAAGTGTAATATATTGCCATACTTTAGTCTCTCCAGGAATGGGAGCTACCTTGCAAACCTGTTTTTCATGGACAAATAAAGCAAATTTGTTAAACACTGTGGAACTCATGTAACAAGCTAGAACTTCAATGCAAAAAACATCGGATGTGTCTTGTGAAAAATATGAAATAGCCAAGAAACTTTGGACTACTCCATAAAAAATCAATGCAAGAGTTAAAAAAATGTCATTCAAACTTTGCCCTATGATATAAGAGTAGTCATACATTCTTTGACCGAAGTGTGTTGATAACTGATGATTTTCCAACATTAGGATATCCAACAAAACCCACGGATACTGCCTGTTTGTCACTCTTCAACCGAGCAAACTGTCTCAATACTGACAGCAGGGGTCCCTACAACAACAAAATGGAAGCAGAGACAATTAGATGATATTATCGTCAACTGACAGGCAAAATTAAACTCCCTCTGTTTATTTTTACTTGCACAATAGGATTTCACATAGTTTAAGAAAATAAATATAGGAGTACTAAGTAGTCTAGAAAAAAGTTAAAGGAGTTATGTTGTTCCATACATTTATGTGTGAATAACCGAGCAAGTAATATAAAAACTTCTATACAAAATAAGTGGAGAAAGTAAGAATACACTGAGGTAGTGCTGCAGCATATATTATGCACATATACAGGATTTTTTAACGAAAGCTTTTGACATTGGTAATCTGAAGCATGAAATCATTGTCCAATATTACTGCCAGATTCCGGTTATTTATTTTACATTTGCTAATGTGATATAATATAGGTTGTATAATGACCAAAGTAAGAGTAGTTATACTTTTACTAAATTACTAATGACGTTAATTTTGAAATTGACAACTGAAGCCACCTTTTGCGGTTTACACAATTATGCTTTTAGTTAATTAAAAACAAACAGAAACCAGTAAGCACATTATGATAATGAATGAGCCCTAAAATGAAGGATACATGTGACTTTGGTGTCTACCTTGCCAAAGGACTTTGTGACGCTTGCATGGAATGCTATTGTTGGATATTCTTTGGACAGAGCCCTTAGCCATCCACTAGTTGCCCAAGCCGGAACTAAATCACACTGAGAGTGAGTAAAAAATTAAAGTGTTTGAATAAATTAAAGTGTTTGAATAAATTCTCAAACTGCTAAGGGAAAGGAAAGATGAACACATGAAATGTTGAAAATGCATGACATATCAGCAAAGGCAAACCTTGTTCAGGAGAAGGATCATATGTTTGTGCTTGCAGTTTTCTTTCAAATGCTTCTCCAAATGGTAACATCTTGTACCTTGTGGGTCTCTAGCATCTATTACCTATGAACCATTTCTGTAAGTACAGCTTCTTTCCTCAAATACTTCAATGCTATCTTGTGAGACATGATATGACGGTTAACATATTAAAAAAAACAGACCCATTGTGAAAAGGAATATCATGGTGTCATTGTTTTATACTACCTCTGTCCCACTAACATTGGGACATGAAGAGGTGGCACAGTTATTAAGAAAAGTGAGTTTTTGTGGTTGATATTGAATTTATAAGTAAGAATAGAGTAAGAATAATTAAGAGCCACACAAACTTTACCAAATCTGGTATGAGACCATCCTAGTGAAGGAAAATTGGGACAATCTTAGCGAGACGGAGGGAGTAATACCTAAAGGAGCCTTTGTTTCAAAATGTTTGTTATTATACAAACCTGACTACAACCGCAACTTCCAGGTGACGCATGCTGAGTCAACAGTTATGGATGCTCAACTTTACTTCATATTAAAAGGCAGTTGGAAACACAACAAAATACCTGAACAACAATATCAGAGGAGTCTATGACTTTGTATAGCTCGCCCCATATGCGTTTGCTTTGACCCTTTTCAAACATTGTATGTCGTACAGCGTCTCTAATCCCATCTTCATTTTCTTCCATGTGGTTGCCTGCACTGTGCTTCTCATCAAATGAATCTGTTGAAGGAGAGAACAAAGTCAATCCAAAAACAATCCTGCCAATAAGTCCAAGTACATGTACTAAACAAATTAGAAGATCATATAATAAACCTTGAAGAACATCTGCCTTCTTTAACAGTGATTCGTAATCTGCTGCCATGAGCTTTGGCCGTTTCCTCTTCCCTTTAGGACCAAATGCATCAGCAAAAGGCTCAGTCTCAAGAAGATGCACCCTTGATTGCTTTACCAAGACAAATATTAACAAACATGATCCATATACAATATTATATGAGCTTATCATATAGTTCATATAATGCTTTAATTTTGAAGTACAAACAAAGTGTCAGACAGAATAGTTAGCATGAAGATACAGTCATACTTAATAGGTACTTAGAAGCGCTGAGTCCATTCTTTTCTAAAACTGGGAATGACCTGACCAGTTGATATGAAATGGCCCAACAACTAATACAGAAAACTTGCACAATTAACATGTAATAATGCAACTATGCACCATTAAGTGAATCACGATGTTCTAAAAGGACATGAATTTGAACTAGCAATAAAACTTCTGAAAACTGTTATGAGAGAGATCATTAAGTATCTTCTGGATCGTTCTGATGATCAATTAAGGTGAGGACAGAAAAGCAAATATATCACTAAACAATATGCACCAAGCACATGTACAGACATACCCCTAACTTTTAATGGAATCATTTATGTGCAAAAGAGTGAAACATTTGGCTCATCTAGACTCTTTGCTTTTACTTTTGAGTAGCAAATCGAAGGCGGTATGCGGCATCTCATTAGTTTTATTTTAAAATTTTATAAATTTATTTTGGCCTCAAACTTTTAAGTTTAACAAATCAAATTTAAGTACGGAGTATCTTTTTATTATGTTTCATTTCCTATTTAACATCAGTCTTGCATAAGCAATATTATTAAAAAAGTATGACGAATAAAGAAACAAAAAATGTCACTGATAGATATTAGAATATTTAAGGCGCACTCATTTTTTATTCAGATCAATGTGTTACGTACAATATAACAAATTAACATCTTTTATGATCTTTGTGAAAAACAAATTAGTTAATGCGCTAATATAAAGTAATGGCACTCTGGAAATAGGGTAATCGTTTCACCCAAAAATAGGATTTGATAATCTTAGGAAAAGAAGTATTAACTGTTTTTATTCTTGGTTTAGGAAAGGATGAATCATATCTTTAGTACAAAACAAGGAAGATCCTATTTACGAATATGACTCATGCTTTACCGCTATGTACAATTACCTCTTTAAATAAGTTGGTCATGTTTTTATATATCTTATTCAAAAAATAACATAGTCTCATATATTGTATTGTAGATTTGTGGTAGTATGGAACACAACAACAACAGCATCTAAGCATTAGTCCCAAAAGAGTTTGAGGTCGGCTAACATGAATAGACACATGCAATCGGAGTTAAAAAGATAAAAATATAAGATAAGATAAAAAAGATACAAAGATAAAGAAGATAAGAAAGACAAAATGGGATCATTCCTCCACACATAGTATGACAAATCGTGAAAAAATATCTAATTTGAGGTATTATTCATATAAATTGAGTCCATGAACATTTTAAATTTAAAAAAACGATCATTCTTAGAAGGGTTATTGGGGAGTAATATTTTTAGTTACTTTATTAACTTGGAATTTTACATATGAAATACAGGTACTATAGGAAATACTTTATAACTTAAGGGTATATTTCTCTCCCGTCATCAAGACTCTAATTGGATAGAGTAAACTTAATGAGCTTAAATGAACCTAAGTTTCATTCAAAATTAGGTGAACATAGGGTTCATGCGCAAATATAGTTTAGATGGTTTTACATGGGTGGATGTAGTAAAATGTTGATTGGAGACTTTCCAAAAATAGGTGGGTTAAACCTGGGCTTTCTGAAATCCCAGATTCTTGTGAACCCATATTTAAACTGGGAAGAATATAGGTTGAAAGAAACAATAGTAAAAGAGAGAAGAAAGAAGAGAAATCTTTAAGTACCTTCTGATGATCATTTAAAAGAGACAAAGGCAATTTCTTGTCCTGCAAAATTACGTTGTAGCTGCTTGACATTTTACTTTGCAATTCTTCACGGAAAAACTCTAACTGTTTCTGATTTACTACTCGTGTATTGCCTACATAATAATGATGATGTCAGAAAAGAACGCTCCACTAAGTTGCAATGAGCAAAGTAAATACAAAAAAATAGAGATACATAGGCTTGTTTAAAAATTGGGCAAACAAAAAACCCCAAGTTAGAAATGTAGAATAGCAAGCAGTATCTAGTGATGCATACACAACCTCAAAAAGCTGAAAGTAAAACTGTAATGAGAGAACCCACCGAACCATCGGCGATCTGGTTCAATCCGAGTGGAGGGAAGTTCCTTGGATTGCAAGTCGTGTTTTAACACTTTCCCCTTTTTGTCACGCTTAGGCCTAGTCTTGTACATCTTAATCCGCCGCACAGTAGCGGCGCTGCGGCCGCCCTTAGTTCCACTGGCATCTCTATTGACATCGAGAGAATGCTTGGCCTTCCCAGATACGTTGACCGACTTTTCCTTCTTCTTCGCCATGTCTGTGTTAACAAAGAGAAGAAAACCCTAAGCATCTCTATCTCTATATATATAAAAGCTGGATTGGCTGGGATAACTGTTCCCGCCGGACAATGATAATGTCACTATGACATCATCATGAAGTCATCAGGGGATAATGTGACACGTGCTAACAGTTAATCTACAGAACTTTGGCTCTTCTCTGTACTAAGGCAACACTGCCTTCGTATTGGTTGGTCATTCAATTACAGCTTATTAAAATCCTTCATTTAGAAAAATATCCATCCTTTAACTGAAACAACAGATAAAGAACGAAGCTCAACAACACCCTCTGAGCTTGATCCATTCACTGCTGATAAGATACAAAAAGATATGTACGAACGATCAAAACAAGATGGGAATAAATTAAGAAGACAGATAGTAATAGTCGACTAACCTCGGCGGGGATATTAGACGAACGGCGCGGATATTAGACGAACGGCGAGGTGTAAGCTGCGTCCGACCTAAGGAGAAGAAGAGGAGCTGGAAACGAAGAAAGCAATATAGCTTACGACCGGAATAACCGAATAGAAACGATACGGAAGTATGTTGGGCATGTGATTTTCTAATCGGACTGGATCAAACATTTGGGCCAATAACTTTAAAAGCCCGTTTGATAACAAGCTTATCGGTCCATATTTTCACCAAATACGTAAATTTTGATTTCGCGCGTTTAATTATGTAATAATAAGAAAATGTAAGATTAGAATTATTTTTCTAATTGTATTGACTGAAATTACTGTAGAGGACCATTTTAACTATTTTTCATATAGTTTTTTCTTTATTTTATTAATAAAATATATTTTAAATAAAAAAATCATAAATCAGCAGAATCAGTCAATGCAGCCACTTTAGAAGAATCAACCGATTCAGTCAATTTTTGGCATTACCAAATGGGGCCTAAATCATTTTACTTGGCAGATTTTAAATTTTACGCCTACACTTTCTCTTTTTGATAGTCCAACAAACTTTATAACTTCCTCTTTTAATTAAGGAATATCTAGTTCATGTTAACTCCTTCTATTCTATACAGAACTATACCACATAGTTTTTTCATGCAGGTTAAACTTGGCCAAATTTTAAGGGAGTATGATGGAATACTTACTTTTTTGTATCCATTTTGCAACATTGAAATTGATTAAATAGGTTGAATCTATTAAAAATCGTCAAGTTCTAGTTGAACTAATCAACTTCACTAATTTGCCAATTTGCGGAATTTAAAATATTATTTAATGATACATAAAGAAAAAACTTGTCGTGCAAGATATTTTCCTTCTACTAATAATATTGATATATTATACATATTCTCAATATCAATATTTAAATATCATGGTGGGGCATTTCAAATAACAATATTTGGAACATGTGAGAACAAAACGTACATGGTTAGGAAAAACATAAGCACTCTGCTATCTTGACAACGAATAGTGATCAATACGGTTCTAGATATTATCCTACTACTAATCATAAAGATATATTACACATATTTTCAATATCAATATTTAAATTTCATGTGATGTGGGATAGAATTATTTGTGTCGTTTAATCGACACAAAAATCACATTGAGTTTGCAAAATACATGTAAACTAATAAATACATCTTTCAATAGCTTCTTGAGCACACGTTATGAGTCTTAGAAAATGTTATAAATCTGATTATAACGTCTAATCTAATGCATAAAAGCAATACATTTTTTCCAAGCCATTTCCCGCCCAATGAAACTTTCATCTTCACCATCCATATTCTCATTCGCAGTCGTCGATTTTCACACATAGAACTAAAGTGAATAGCATCTCAGATAAGTCTGTAGCTCTCAGCATTGATTAGTTTTAACAGCATTTATACCAAATAGAACTAAATCAAACAGTCAGCTTTTATTAAACAGCTACTACCTTTTCCTTTTAATATCGTTTCAATCACTAAAGGTTAAACTTACTAAAAAACTCATAAAAGTATTTTTTTTTCAGCTAGTTGTGCAAAACATACACTACATATATGTGAAAGTTATAAAATTTTTACTTTAATTTTGTGAAAAGTCAATTTAACAAAACATTTTCATACATTTTTATATCATACATGATCTATAAAAGATTATTAGTCAAAGTTTAATTTGATTAACAAAAATTTCAAACTATGATTCTTAGAAAGAATTCATACCAATATACAACAACAAACAAACAAACAACATCCCAGTCATACAATAATTCAAAAAAAATGATTTATATTCCTTCGATTTTGGTAGGGAAATCCTAGAGCGATGTTTAGTTAGGGATGGACTCGGTTCGGGCCGGGCCCGGTTCGGGCCTTGAACCGGCCGGGCCTCGGTTCAAGGTATGGGAGGCCCGGAACCGGCCCAGGTAACCCCGGGTCCGGGCCGGGCCTCGGTTATATATTTTTTTTTGGGGGCTTTTCCTAGTTAACCCCAACCCTCCCCCTCACCCCCAAACCAATCCTAACCACCTCAAATGGCCCCAAAATACCCAGCCCAACCCAAAAACTTAAAAAAAATCAAAAAAAAAAATTAAAATTGGCCCGGCCCGGGCCCGAACCGGCCGGGCCGGCTCACCTTTTGAAGGGCCCGAGCCCAAACCGAGATCCCACCGGGCCGGGTGGCCCGAACCGGCCAACCAACTGGTTTACCGGGCCGGGCCGGGCCCACACAGTAGCGGGCCGGGTCGGGCCCGTACAGTAGCGGGCCGGTCCGGTTCCGGGCCGGTTGGCCCGGCCCGAGTCCACCCCTATGTTTAGTCCTACCATTGAGAGGAAAGGTGACTTTGAGAAGTACTAGAAGGCCACACAAAAGAATGGTAAGCAGAAACTTCACATATTAAAAACTACTTCCGACAATATACAAGAATAAGAATTAAGAAACTTCAATTGGTTCGAATAAGAATAAACAAGAATTGCAGAAATGAATTAATGGAATTTGAAAGATCAAAACTTGAGCTGAACTTGAACAAATCCAAAGACTGACATGACCAAAGCAGGATTCATCCACTCTCATGAAGCTTGTGGGTTTCTACTCTCACAGCAACTCACTCTCACGGCACAGATCCATTTGAACAGGAATGACTCCTGCCTCACCTGCTTTTTCCTACTGGACGACGTCTTTTTGCTCCTCTGCTGCGTCTTTTTCTGTTTTGTTGGATGCTACCACAGTCGCTATCTTTCCTCTGACCGGCATGAAATACCATCTTTGAAGCTGTCATGCCATTATGTTCCCATCCCTGTGCCAATCAAATACTCAGTAAAAAAGTAATCCACATCTATAAACAATACTCCTTAAAAAAGTACTCCATACTCCAGAGTAGATGGAGTACTACGTATACTACATTACTGGTCATAAACCAATACGAACTGTGGTCATTAAAAAGCCATGATATTGTAGGACAGTTACACATCCTAAGCACTTCCCACAAAAACCAACATGGTTAGATATCCTTAACAGTTAACACACCCCTGCACCCGTTTTGGACAGGACTGAACCAACCAGGTAAAGACCGGCCTTTGGCATGTTTTGCACTTGCAGAACGAAACAGTTCCAATTCAGGTACGATTGGGGTTCCTCAAAAAAGGTTTTCAACTGGTTATGTTTTTAATAGGATAAACACAGACCACAACCGCAGCAGAGTTTCTAGTCCCAGTTACATGTAAGGGATCTCATGGACCCCAAAACAGCTGGACTGAAGCAGAAGCCCAATCGGGCCCACACCTACTGCACGAGGAAAAGAAATAGCGAGACAATGCATTCTATCAAGCTCACGAGCATTTGTTTTTTGTTTGGATTTCTTAGGTGAAGAGCATCAAGAAACCATTTCTTATTAGTGTACCATAAAGGGTTTGAGGGTTACTTAGCATGACGTGCGTATACAGTTATACTCTCAATTTTATTTTATCAAATAGCCTGCCAAGGGATGCCATGTACTCTCATGTTTGTGACATATTAGATTAGAAAATCAAACTATTCTTCACATTTCTTAAATTAATCTAGAGATAGTTTAAACTTTAAAGAACTCTTAAAAACTAATAGGGGACATTCAGGGACGGATTTAGGGGGGGGGGGGGGGGGGGCGACCGCCCCCCTTGGACTTTCAAAATTTTCTATTATATATGTAATATTTTCATAAAATTTTCATACTTTAATTAGATATATATGCTTTCGCCCCCCTTATCTTTTAGTTTTCAAAATTAATATATAAGCTCACATAATGTAATACTTAATTGGAGATTTAAAAGAAGTAAAATCTAAAATAATTTAGATAATTTTAACAAATAAACAATAGAACAACTCATTGTTTAAGAGTTATGTTACCTATTATATCAAAATTCTTGATTTTGTAATGTTTAATTGTCTTTATTAGATAATTAGTACTCTATCGTGTAAAATATCAATGATATTAAATATCACACACAATAGTTAAAAAAAAATAGATCATGTAAAGTGAATCCAAAATATAAACATCAATTTACTTCTTACTTTGTAAAACAAATTTGTAGATAATAAATTTTGACTTATTTTAGCATAAATAGAAATATATTGTGCACCATGTATATATGAATTAACAATACTAGGTATCATATTATTCTAAAACTAATAATCTCATACGGAGTACATACTATTGTAATATTAAGAAAAGTTCTTGTGATCCATAAATACCCTTCTTCATAGACAAAAAATGCAATTCAAAACGGATTCTTTATATTATGATAGGATTCATGTGGTTAAAAAAGAAGAAATTATTTAAAAAACATCGGTTTATGTGTACCTATTAAATTCTTTACCTTCAAATAATTTGATAAAATGTTACTCCGTATATCCTTTCTTATTTTCAATAAAAATCTAGAGAACTAACAATTATTAAATCAAAGTTATTTTCCCGTTGTCTAGAATTAGAATGTAATATAATAGATTTAAATGTCATCGTGTATTTATTACTCATGAAAATTTTTGAACAAAAATTATCCGCAAAGTCCTATACTAGCGAAAAAAATTCGCCCCGCTACCCTAGAAAAAAAAATTCACCCTGCTACAATAGCGGAAAAATGTTCACCATCTCAACATTAACGAAAAAAATTTCGCCCCCCTTGACTCAAAATCCTTGATCCGTCCCTGGGGACATTTATCATAGAAGCTTGCACAGAGAAGGGTCATTTTGAGAACTGGCACAAACTAAAGGGTAGGCTAATTAAGGAATTCTGCTTCTAATGAACTTTTCATTAGATACACTGTACCTAATTATATGTAAACCAAACTAGCTAAACTTTTGTGCATAAATTTTCCTAAGAAAAAAACAGTTATAGCTAATGGGTATTTTTTCAAGCCCTCAACGAATGATATATTATATTCACAAATATGAGATAAATGCAGAGAGAGAGAGAGATTTATGTACCTTTTGATGATCATTTAAAAGAGACACAGGCAATTTTGTGTCCTTCGAAATTACATTGTAGCTGCAAGATATCCGGTTATGCAATGCCTCACGGAAGATTTGAAGCTGTTTCTGATCTATTACTCGTGAATTGCCTACAGATCGAGTTCACAATAATGTCACCAAAGAACACAGGAACAAAGTAAATGCAAAGAATTTAGAGATGGCTAGGCTTTTTTTACTAATACCGCAAAGAAAATATCCATAAATTAGAACGGCAAGCAATATAAACACGTATCCGGAGTCGCATAGAAGCTCAGAGTTGGACGGGAATGAGGAACCCACCGAAATATCGTTCATCTGGTTGAATCCGAGTTGAGGGAAGTTCCTTGGATTGCAATTCGTGTTTTAATACTTTCCCCTTCCTATCACGCTTAGGCCTATTGTTGTACATCTTTACCCGACGCACAGTGGCGGCGCTGCGACCGGCTTTAGTTCCGCGCCCACCTCTATTAATATCTAAAGCATGCTTCGCCTTCCCGTATACCTTCACTGGCTTCTTCTTCGTCATGGTTATAACAGTGACGCAGGAACAACAAAGAAAACCTAATCTATGTGAAAGATAAGCTAATTAAAACTAGCCCCGCTAATTATATAATTAACCGGAAGTTATACCTTTTTGAGTTAATTATCAAAACAGGACTAAAAGTCATTCACTTTTCACAAATAAGATCAAAAAATAAACTATGTTTGTATAGGACTAATTATGTGTACTTTGGACAATTATACTCTTATACCTATTAAAATGTTTTAATTCCTAATAAAATAATAAAAAATAATAAAAATTCGTAAAAAATACTAAAAAATTAAGAAAAACATTTCGATATTAAAAATATAATTAATTTTTTTTTTTCAAAAAATTAAAAAAAAAAAATTAAAAAAAAAACTAAAAAAAATTCACTGCTGCCTATGCCGCCTCAGCACCACCACCTCCGGTCATCAAGGGAAAAAAATGCCAAGTTCATTACGAATGCCATATTTATGGCAGAAAAAAATGAAAATGTTGGTATTCGAAAAGAGAAATATGCCATTTTTTTGGCATTTTCAAAAAAAATGGCATTTTTCTGGGAAAATAGCATTGTTTTCATCGGCCGGAGGTGGTGGTGCTGGGAGGTAGTACAGGCGGTGGGAAAGGCATCCATATTTTTTTAAATTTTTTTACGGAGTTTTACTATTTTTTAATATTTTTTTTAAAAATAAAATTATTTGGAAAAAAAAAGTTTTTTAATTTTTTATTTTATAAAAATTTTATAAATTTTTTAATTATATTTCTACGAATTTTTGAATTTTTTTGAATTTATTATGAATTAAACATTTAATTATGGCTTTTGACTATTTTTAATTCATATTTAATGGAAGGGTAAGAATGGAATGCAAAAATAGGTATGTTTCCAATAGGACTCATATGGTCCTATTTTGAAATAAAAACATAGCAAATCCTATTTTAGGTTTTTGCCATAGTTTTAGTTCTATTTGAACTAATTTCTATACCTTTTTATGTGTTAAACCATACTAAAAAGGAATTCAACTCATACTAAGGGGTGTCCCCAACACGGACTTTTAATGATTTTAAAGAATTGTACATTCTATGGATTTTAATGGAATTCTATAGATTCCATGAGATTCATATGGAATTCTATGAAATCCTATTTTATGGAATCATATGGATTTTAATAGATTTGAATACAAGCCAGTGCAAACCCCTACCCTAATTTCAAACCGGCGTCGGAAAAGTCGTCGGAATATTTTGATAAAAAAAATTATTCGATCTTTTTATTTAATTGATTGGGAAATGTTAACGATAAATTGGCTTCAATCTAGTCATATTTAAGGAAAAACCTCAAACTGAAATATAAAAAATTACATAATTGATATTTAATCCATAATCAAAGCACAACCTTAAACAATTAGGAACCGTACTAAAGTAACAAAAGGAAGATGACAGAGGCGTCGATCGACCTGGCCAATGGATTGAAACGTGTGCGACTGTATTTTTTAAATAATGGATTTGAAATCAAAGGGTTGGCGGGGAGATTGGTGGTGGATTGGGTTATTAAATTTTTTAGCTTAAAAGTCCATCAAAATCTATCAAAGTCCATTACAATAATCCATAAGTAAAATCCATGGACTGTTTGAGGATACCCGGATTTTAATAGACTCTATGAAAATCTAAGTTGAGGACACTTGGATTTGGATGGAATTTTAAACTCCATTAAAATCTTTTAAAACCGTATTTTACCCTCCCCAATAAAAAAACTCTTTCCCACTCCCCTTCCCTTTTACCCGTTCGCATCCCTCTCTCTTTCTCACCCGCATCCCTCTCTCCCATTTACTCCCACCGCCTCCTCTTTCTCTGTCACTGCATCCGTGTCTCTCAATTACTCCAACCGTCTCTCTCATTTACTTCCTCCATCTCCCCCTATGTAAATATATCTACCCTTCCACCTCCCCCTCTCTCACATTTTTATGGATCTAAACCCTAATACTTTGAGTATGGAGAATATTGAACACTTCATCATCCCTGACAGTGAAAAGGTTGTTCTTCCGGAGGAAGCAGTGGCGTTGGACACAGATGACCCTGTATTGGTACTCCATCCGAGGTGCATGGCTCAGAACTCCCCGGCAGAGGATGCCCTCCTCATCATCCCGGACAGTGAAGAAGAGCTTCCCGAGGATGTAAGCGAGAAGCCTGCAGAGGTCGTGGGGGAGACGGTGGACCCAAATCGGCTTAAAAGACGCAGAGACATTGGCATGCATCCTATTCGGAGAAGTCCCCGACTGGAGGAGTTCCTAAAAATAATTTTGCCAAAATGGGAAACAAGGATGTAGGACGTGGACACAGATTAGGGGAGTTTCTTTTATACCTTATCTTCATTTATGGTTTAATTCGTACTCTATGTCCATTGTGTGTAATTTGGGGGAAGCAATGATGAAAAATTGTTTTTTTATGTTTATTGTGATGCATGTGGGTTGTACATGGCGGTTTGGTATTATAAATGGTAGTTAGGCATACTGTGATGAAAGTATACCTTGTGTGTACTGGTCCTTTATGCATACTGTCATGAAACTGTCCCTTTGCATACTGTGATGAAACTAGACCTTGTGTGATGGTTCTTTATGCATACTGTGATGAAAGTAGACCTTGTGTGTACTGGTTCTTTATGCATACTGTGAAAGTAGACCTTGTGTGTACTGGTTCTTTATGCATACTATGATGAAAGTAGACCTTGTGTGTACTGGTTCTTTATGCATATTGTGATGAAAGTAGACCTTGTGTGTACTGGTTCTTTACTGCTATGATTGGTTCATTCTGAGTGGTATACTGTGATGACCATGATCCTGTGATGTGGTACTTTATGCATACTATGATGACCATGATCAATACTTGTGTGTGATGTGTATGCTGATGTTGTAGTTATTCACAAGGTCTGAGTGTGCTGTTCTTGTCCCAAAACGATGAAATCATTATGACCATTGCTAGATCAATATGCTTCTACTATTACAAAATGTCTGACTATGCTTGTACTTCTACAAAAGGTCTGAGTATGCATCATGTATTACAAAATGTCTGAGCATGTTAGTACTAATTCTAAATGTCTGTCTGTCCTGCAAAATTAAGGCCTGTACAAAAAACAAAAAATTTAAGGCCTATTATGTCTGAGCATGTACTTCATCATTGAAGATGATCATCATCATCATCTTCTTCAATTATGAAGTTCCCCTGACTTTCAGTATCCCCTGCTTGTTGCCCTAGAATCTGTTCTGTTGCTTCCAATAATTGAACATCTACCTCAATTGTTTTTGGAAGTATCCCTTCTGACTGCATCCTATCCTTTGCATTGTGTGGTAGCTTGTAATTGTTGCCTCCCTGCACTTTCAGAACTTCAATCATAACATACTGATAGCTTAGCCAAACTTTGTTTTGAGTCATAGGTGATAGTTGTTTGAAAGCATCATCCACTGCATGTAACAGTTCATCCACTATCTTGGGTGCATTCTGGTCTTTCAAAGATTGTATTGTCCTAAAAAACCCTAGGTCTAGGATGTTAAGGTCCGGAGAATTGGGGGGCTGGTTAGTAAGGGTGATTGTAAACCCATCAGCCATGGAAGCACTCATATACTCTGCATCATCATGTGAAATGTGTGGCCTTGCATTGTCTTGTTGTATTATGATTTCTTTGCTCAACTGTGGAGGCCATTTTTCCTTGATAGCTGGGAGGACTGTGTTGATTAACATGTCCTTGAACACTTTCTTTGTTATGTTAAGAATAGACTTGGTTTCCATAACACCTGCATTTCTGTTTTTGCTTATTCTTTTTGCTGCAACCTGTTCAACAAATGGAAACATGCCTATTCTTCCATCCCAAATGACCTCACCACTTTCTGAAAAAAAGGGCCTACCCACCGCACCTAGGGACATGACCTTAGTTATGGACCTCTTTGATTTGCATACTCTGTGTGGATCAGCCTCTTCCAACCCCATGTATAATCTTTGAGATGTTTTTGTCATGAAAACCCATTTTTCATCAATGTGAATCACATTCTGAAATGTTTGAAAGGTAGGCTTCTGTGGCACTGACTTCTCTATCTGACTAAGATAGAACTTCAATCTTTGCAATTTATTTGCATCACTTAGAAATGGCTTTATTGCATTTGTATGCCTTCTGATGTTACCACTTTGAACCAATCTGTGGACACTTGACTTTGATATTGAGGTGGCAGCTGTCAAGGACCTTATGGTAGTCCTTTTATGCAGTGGGATCTGTGATACTTGAGATAGATCAAATTCTATCCTTTTTCTGCCATTGTACTTCCTACACACATTTACTGCATCACCTTGTACAACTTGCTTTTTAACTGTGTCCCAAATGCCAGAAATAGTTCTTCTGGACACTTCATACTCTTCAGCAAGTATGACAAAAATACCTTTCTGAGCTTTCAAGTACCCCAAATAATCCCCCCTACTTGACATTAAGAGTACATGTGTTATGCGCTCTTTTTCACAGTTCGAAAGCCTTTTTTCCCCACTGCAGCACCATGACCATCCGTTGTTACTAGTTGCAGGTCTAGGGGTCCTGGTGTGGAAGAAGCTGGAGAAAATGAAGAAGAAGTTGCAGCTGTGGAAGATATTGCAGCCATGAAAGCTGCCTTTTTTTGTTTTCAGTGTGCAGTGTTTGTAAGTGTGCGTGTGTGTGTAAGGAGGGAGTGGTATATGTAAGGAACTAATCTCCCTCCTTTTTTTTTGGATTGCCGCCTCTATGTATGAAACTTTTAGACAAATGTGAATAGTCTTTACTATTCACATGTCAATCAATCTACTTTTAATCACTTTCCCACTTTATTAAAGTTTTTACCTCAAATTTTACCCATTCATTTACCCCATTCGGCCAAGGGTATAAGGGGAAAGTCAACCCCTTTATAAATTTGCATAAATTTGCGATACCGGTCAAAAGCGGAAGAAATGACCGGGACGGAGGGAGTATATTTCTTCTTTTCTTTTTAATTAACCGGAAGCTTTGCTTTCTTTTTTTACTTTTAGAGCATTTTCCCCTCATTTTGTAGGGAGTGTTAGCTTGTT